TGTATTTAAAATTTCTTTATCTTGGCTTGGGCAATATTCTCTACAATTCTTAGTCAACGCACGAAGGCGCGGGCATCGGCGGGTTTAATAAAGCAAACATCTCTAGGTCACTATCACGCAACCTTGGATATAAGCCTGCGCGTGAGTCGGTCAATGTTGACATAATATTGAATAAACTATGTAAGGATTTATCATTTATCTGACTTAATATACAAATATGTACTTATATAGGGGTTTGAATTATTTTTGCTGCGTTTTTCTTAAGAACATTTAAATATTTTTGTAATTTAATTAGTAAAATTTACTATTATGTTTATTTTTTTTTTTATTTAAGTCTTTATCTTCAATCAGTCAGTAACTATGAAGATTGTTGAAGTTATCGTTAAGCAAAATTATAATTCCTCTCTTTCAACTTGATAAGACTTAGGATTTGTCGCTTAACTATTTATTAGATCCGGTATGGTTAGTTGCGTGGCAAGCTTATTAGGATCATTTCTAGCCTTTTTCTGTATTTCATACTCCAGGTTTGATTCTCTTTGACAGTCCCTATTCTGAGGTGCTCATGTTGTTGGATACTTGTTTCAAGATGTAATTTTGAACCCTCTGTATGATACTTATGTAAGAGTCACACGCCAACCCCATATTGAATCCCGTATGTCAAATTGTTTTCAAGAGCATTTCGTAGATGAGTAGCTTATTATCTACTGACAGTTTGGAATTCCTGCCAAGAAGCCAGTAGAGTCCTCTGTATTTCAGGTTGATTTCTTCTGTATGTGTTTACTATTAAGTTACAACAAATATTAATAAAAGAAACGGTCTATTTTACGTTAGTTGTAGAGGGAACGAAACCTCGGGACAGTTGGAAGAGGAAATACAATGATTTAGTTATTCATTTTAGTTAATAATTGCAACATGTGATAGGCGCACTTAATTCCAGTTAAGCAATTTTTTGTATTTTATTTAAATTATTAATTAATATAGTTTTTTTTATCTCAATGCCCAATATTTATAAATTGCTCCAGTAATCTGACATGGTGTCGTGATAAACGATGGGACGACATTTAGAAACATGATGGGAAATATATGGCGGCGCATCGTGCGCAATTATACCGAATGGAGAAGAGAAGAGGCTTTGCCATTTGGCAAGGAGCTTGTTCATATTATACCATTTATTTATTTATAAGTTAAGCTACACATATCTCTATTGTAAAGAAAAACACTTATACAATATACATAGCCAAAACAGATTTAATTGATAAACAAAATATATGAAACAGAAAACAGAATAATAGATAAAAAAATAAAACTTAAATGAAACATTAAGCAAACGACAACTTAATATTTTAAAAGAAAAATCTAAATTTTTAATACTGCTAAATGTCAGTGTCTTCCCGCCTCTCAAAGAATTTCCTCACTTCCTCTTTGGTAAGATGGATAATGTCAACATCTTCATAATTTTTTGTCATAGTTTGCTGAAACCAAACAACACAATTCGAAACATTGGCGAATTACGCAGATAATTCGCGTACCTAGGTAACACTGAAAATGTTTAGAAATAAAAAAACGGCATAATGTAGAAAGTTGCCAATACTTTTATTGTTTTTCGAAGTAATCTCCGTTCCTCTCTACACATCGTCGAATTCGATGGAACCATTGAGAAAAGCAGTGGGCCATTCTTCCTTAGGGGACTCTTTTATGGCATTTTCGTACTTTTACCGCATCTTCAGGGCTCTTAAAGCGAATACCTCGAATTTTATATTTAGTTCTTGGGAATAAATAAAAGTCGCAGGGACAGCCACGTCAGGACTGTATGACGGATGACTCATTATCTCGACACCTGTCATAGTCAAATATTCAATAGTCCGTTTTGCTTAGTGCGCTGAAGCATTGTCGTGGTGAAGGAGGATCCTGCTTCGAGGGCGCTGATGTTATCTTCAGTAGTCGCTGTTAAAGGACGTCCCTCACGCGGATCATCATTGAGATTGCTACGTCCACGCTTAAACTCGTTAAACCAATTGTAAATAGTGGCACGAGATGGGGCTTCATTAAGAAACGCTAATCGCCGCCTATCATAGATTTGTTGTTGAGTAAGACCACCACGAAAGTCATAATAAATCATTGACCGAAAATTTTCTCGCGTTAGTTTCATTTTCACGTGTAACAAGAGTTTTAGATTTGCCGCCAATTCACAAAAACAAATGACAAATGAATGCAATATACTACATTAGGTTGCCAAAGAGTTCTAAAATTGAAATTATAAAAAAGTTTTCATGAGCAATGTTTCTAATTGGCCAGTTCTAAACATTTTCAGTGTTACCCACGTACGTACGAGGCACATGGAACGATTGTGAATAGGGGACAGCCAATAGGGGCTATTTATCCGCCTATTAGCAATAGCGTCATTAGAATAAGACAATATTGTTTATACCGGATTATCCGTATTTTTAATTATTTTTTTAAAACAAAATGGCAGGGTCGCTTAATAGTTAAGTTAATTATGATTAGTGTGTGACGTAATCCCACTATGAATTAGTGTCTGGTCCTTGTGAGTGAATGAGCAAACATACGTCATCATAATGACATAATATAAGAAATTAGCTTTATTATTAATAATATGTCTCAATTTACCAATGTAAATTGTCTTAATTTTACATATAAACTAATTACACTGTTTTAAAAAGTAATCCCTCTCTTTCAATTTAAATTGAGCTTACGCTATGCTGAAAAGGGACATAACAGTATGCCTGTCGTATATAAAATTGTTCAGAGTACAAACATCTGTGTTACGTTATTGAAGCTTTTATATTCTAATAAATCATCTGCATATCCTCTGCAGTAAGGCTACATATAGGCCAAGACTAAGTTTTCAGTTTAATATTGTCTCTTTTCATCAGTGTTCGTAAAATTTGACAGAAAGAGACAAAAACATTGTAATAAAGAAGTTTACAACTACTCTGCAACTTTTATATATACAGTTTATTTTAATTGGCTTTCAAAATATTGAACATGGATTGTATTTTTTTTAATACGAGGGAAGAATATAATGCAAAGATTATGGTAGAGATACAGGAGCTTAAACTGAGTAATTCTTGTTGTGGATCCCCGGTATGACGAAGCTGCGTCACATCCTGGGATGACCCGGGAACTCCCTATATATGTAAAACTTATCGAATAAAAATCCAACAAATAATTACGAAATATTATCATTTAGCTTCGATAATTTGCTTCGAATTTAGTTTTTTGAAAAATAATGGTACAACCTTTGGTCTTCAGAGGCATCATGATAATTTTTCTTTATAAGCGGGTAGCTTCTTCTTCCTGACACACTTCGATTATGGTACACACACACACACCCACACTTAGACGGGCTGATTTCCTTGAGATTTTCCCGTAGGCAGAGTTACTTGCGCAATTACATAGAAAAATTCATTCATGCAGTTCTGAATGCTTAACTTTAGTGGTGAGAATCTTGCCACTAATATTTCTATTCAGTCTGGTAAATTTTATATTGAATATGTCAATGTGTTAATAAATAAAAATATAAGTGTTTCTGGGAATATGAATCAGAAATATAGGAATCATCGCTAATTTTATTTACTCGTAAGATCTTGGCCGAGATCGTACGAATAAAGCATGTAATACAGTGCCAGCGTTAAAATTTTGACTCTACTGTCTACTTAAAATTGGTCAAATAGTAGTTATAATATTTTTTTTTAAATAACTTTAGCAATCCCGACTTTTTTAGTTAACAATATTGAGTTTTTGTAATTAACTTCGATTTCACAATAACCGCTCTCTCAAAAAGAGCACACTTCCTCAAAGGGTGGCAACGCACCCACTAAAATGGGTATCCATGGGCTACCACGACTGCAGTATCAATTCGAAACGTTTCGCCGGTAATCGAACCCAGGATCTCCGTTTTATACCCTTAACGAAAGCGGCAGAACATTCATATACTTCTTTTAATTATATATAATTAATTAACTTTAGCAAATAAATAACAATTATTTAACAATAGGGGTCTGTCATTGAATTTTTAGTTAGGGATTTACGATCGTTACATCAGTATGATATAGAGCTTTTATCCCGGCAAATGACACTTGATAGTCCTTGGAGGGGGCTGAGAGTAGATTCCTACCCTTTCTGTTCTTCAGTCAAATGTGTAGGGGACTGAGGTTTTATCTACTGGGTTTATGTATTACCATTGCAGAGTTCAAATGAAGTCCACATCGTATTAAAATATAAATTTAATACCACTTACGTAACCATAATTAAATTTATTGTTTAATAACAATCACTCCTATTTTGGTAAATATAGTAAAACACAAATACATATTGCTTCTATACAAGAAATATATCATATACTTAAGAAAAATTTACTTTGTTACGTTTAGAAAACATCTTGTCAGTGAGGTTGATTGTTAATAAATACGAAATCAGACTAATTGCACTCTTAACTTTTCCTCAGGTGAAAGAGTCTCTTATTTCTCTCTTTCTGCCAAATTCCGTTTATGCTGTGATGAAAAGGGACAAATGAGTACTTAAGTTCTAACGGTGCATTTAGATATAGATATTAGATATATTGATTGGATTTATGATGCTTTGTTGTGAAAGTGTAGCGCCCTAAGAGAATTGGAATGCGTTATGTAGCTATATTTTAATGTGTAGTATGTCCGATCTTAAAGCTAAAAAGACAATATGCTTGGTGCCAAAATAAAACAGTATACTGCCCTACACCGTCGTGAGAGTACGTACGATTCATACAATGAATCACGTTAGCACGGTTTAATACGTCTGAAATCGCAATAAATAAATTATTATATTTACTTAAAACAAGCGTGTATAATTATAAAAATCTGTGCCACCATTAGTAATTAGCTTTATATCGTAAATGACTTACTAATTAGATAGTGTTGACAAAATATTGAATATTTTAGTCAGTTTAACATGAGTGTTTTGGTGTGAGTAAAGGTGAAAGACGTTTCTGTGATATATTTAAAATGGATACAATTAAGGTCGTTGGTGATTATGTCAGAGAAAGGTCACCTTTTTCGGTAAGATTTTGATTGATCTAAGAAGCAAGCAACAACCTTACTTGACTCGTCACACTATGTAATGGGCTATTTTTATAAATTAAGTTTGTTCAAGTAACCCGCGTAATATTACGAAATAAACACATTTACACAAAGACAGTGTATGTGACTTAAAACATTGAACGATACAAACAAAAGACGAATATTGGTGTTAATTATAAAAAAAACTGCGCAGTTTTAAAAGGTGTAAAAGTTTTTGGTAACAAGACAAATAAAATAGTATTAAGTTGGATTTACGTGTGTATGAACAAGTGAATGTTAAATCTCGTTATTATTATGTAGTCATTATGACGTCACCAATTGAATTAGTACTAATGGCTGATATTGAAACTCAATGGTTCGTTCGCTCTAAGGACGATTGTTATGCTGATACGTGATTCGTAAATCAAGACATTTCGCAGTCAGATTTGGAACAGGCATTGTTGTATATGATATATGTAGATATATTTTTGGACCTTGATGATGTCTGAGAATATAAAGATAAATGAATTGAACCGAATAAGACGGTTATAATAATAAACACTTTATTTACATCAAAATAACACAAAACAAGAGACAAATAAAATTAAATAAATGATGGCAAAGTATGTCAATGGGCTACTGTTAAAAGCAGTTACTACCAGGTGATATTATTACCTTGCTGTTACTCGTAAATGTAAACGATATTTTATATTGAATTTTGTCCTTTATAAGTGTAACCTACAACCGACTATCTTGCATATAACTTCAATTCAATATAATATAATTAAATTAAGATAAATTTTTATATACTCTAAGAACGGAAACATGACCCAAGTTTTTACAGATTCTTTGTCTAACAACAAATAAAACTGTTAAATTGTAACTTCAGTACGTTTATAGAATTAGGGTAATTTGTAGGTTATCCTGTTAACATGTTTTATCACGCGACCTACCTATTATTATTATATTAAAACATTATGCATATTGTGACCCAAATATAACGTGTTTCAGCTGGACACATGGTTCGGAAGGCCGAAGAAAGCTGGCGGAGGCATGGAGCGTGGGTACGATACGGTTCCCCGGGCTGAGTTGCGTGGTGATGAGGAGCCTCCTTTGGAGTATAAGAGCAAGATTGACGCCCTTGATGATGAACAGTTGGAGAGCCGATTTGAGGAGATGCTGGTAAGAGAGATAATTCTGTAATTGTTCAGTGGGCTGATTATGTCTAATGGTAACTGCATAACTGGGATAAAGATTTAATTGCATGTCAAAATGCATTGAGAACGTGGGAGTAGAAGAAAGTACAAAGTAAAGTTGAACGTAGAAAATTTTTTTTTAAAATAACCCTCATTTATCTCCTTATGGACCCCATAAAAGATTAAAAATATGTACAATTTTTAAAACTTTATCAAATATACACACTCTTATAATAAATAAATTATATTTTTTTTAAGGACTGTTAAACAGTATAGGGCCCCAATGGGCTCCCTGTCTCAGTCATCTCTCCATCATCTCCATCTCTCTCTGTCTATATCATTACTCCCAATATTCTCCACTTCCAACTTCCTTAAGCTCGTTAGCCCACCGTGCAAGATGGGGACCTTATTTTACTTTTCCTTATTTTACTTTTCCTGGTGGCCCTTTCCACTTAGTTTAAAACACACCACATGTAATAGAATACAATTCACTATATATTTTATGTAGTTTGTTGCTTTATTTTCAGACGGATATGAATATAGGTGAGAAGAAGAAGGAGCCGTTAAGAAAATATTCAAGTGACCAAAAGAAAAAAATGTTGGTCGCGTATAAATTTGTCAATACACAGGTAAGGTGGTGTTATTTGTGTTTTTCTTTAATTTTATTGAATCTTTAATAAATATAATATTTCGAATATTTTTTCTTAGACCACTGAGATTTAGACATTTTAGCAATTCCATATGCAAACGTAAGAATATTTTATATATTTCTGAAATGTCCGTGAAGTTTATCCGACTTTACTGTACAAAGAAACCCATCAGTAATAAAGGTTACACCAATCCTAGGTTAAATGTCATTATAAACATTACGAAATAAATAAATAAATAAAACCTTAAAAAACATCAAAGGACCCACGATCATATTGACTTAAAATTTAAGTCTTAAATGAACGATTTTGATAAAAATAATTAGTCAATCTGATAAAGCTTACGTGTACTGTGTACGTAACGTATTTACGAATGCGTACGTACGTAACTACGTTTAAATTTGTTTGTTTTTCAGTTTATAATTTACATTTTAAATTTTATTCATCCTTTGTGACTTAATAAGCGATTTCTTGCATTTTGAGAAATAAAATGATGTGGTTAATTATTTACAGGAAGGTCGTTCGAAATTTGAAAAGCCATCAGACTACGTGACCTACCTCAATCAGCCAGAGTTATCAGTTGGGAAGTTGCACAGTTGTTTGGAGAATTTACGTATTTCACTAACGAATAACCCGCTGTCTTGGATCGAGGAGTTTGGGACAAAGGGAATTGAGAGTTTGCTGACCACACTCAATGTTTGTTATACTAAGTAAGTTGAACTCAATATATTTAATACATAATACCACTGCCCCATATATGTATTATAGTAGGATGTAGGAAATACAATACTATACTGAAGATCTTTTATATGCGCGGGTCTTCCAGTATAGCGATCTTGCCTTCATTACTGAGATTTTGTACCAAATTTTGATGTAGCGCTGAAGTTGCAAACTCTGGATCCCGTGCATATGACAATATTGAGGTCGGCATCGCATCGCATCGCTATAAACTGAACGATAATGAAAAAATTGTTATGTTGTTTTATGTTTGATAAATCATCAAACTATTAATTTATTTTATAAAAATGTTATTAGTTAAGGAATGTTGTGTCTTGTTCATTCATTTGCAAGTGAAAAGGATATTTCATAGCTATGAGGATTATAGCATATATTTTGCGTTGGTTCGTTATCAAATTTTTTTCTTGTGCAACTATGTAGTGATAGTGTATACTACTATATGCACGTATTTAATAAATTATATTGTTTTTATTGCTGCTAGTGGAAGTGGTTTTTATCGGTAAGATTTTTGAGCTATTATAAATAAAAAGTATTTTTAAATAATTCATATGTATTGGATAATATAGCATAACAAAAAGTTTTTTTTCGAATGTGTCAATCGCCAGATAAAATGCCTTAATAATTTGAATACTAAAAAATAAATCCGTGGCGCTACAACCTCTTTTAGGGTTTGGCCTCAGATTTCTGAATCTGTTTCACGATCATTTGTGAATGTAATAGGCAAGTAGGTGATCAGCCTTCTGTGCCTGACACACGCCGTCGACTTTTTGGGTCTAAGGCAAGCCGGTTTCCTCACAATGTTTTCCTTCACCGTTCGAGCAAATGTTAAATGCGCACATAGAAAGAAAGTCCATTGGTGCACAGCCGGGGTTCGAACCTACGACCTCAGGTATGAGAGTCGCACGCTGAAGCCACTAGGCCAACACTGCTCAAATTTGAATACTATTTATTCCTCCCAATATATTAGAAGTGTTGACTCAACCCTGTCATTTTCTCCCTCAAAAACATATCCTCGCCATCAAAACAGCGGTTGGCAATAAGCTTTACCTGTAAAACGCATTGATCATAATAAAATGTTTTCCAGTGATTCCCGCTACGATCGCGTTCAATACGAGTGTATCCGATGTTTGTCAGCTATTTTAAATAATACGGTCGGTATTCGAGCTGTGTTTGAATGTCGGGAGGCCTTGCCGGTACTGGCTAGAAGTCTGGACGCAAGGAAGCCCCATTGTGCCTTGGAAGCTGCTAAGGTAAGTAGAGAATAAGTGAAGAGATCCATTTACCAACCTTTAATTAGCAAACAGCATACATAACACTGGTATCATCGTGGTTTGCACTCGAATGCTGCAAACTTAAGGTTCTTCAAGAGCGTACTAATTCCCAACTGGACACGCAATTTTGAACCCTCTGGCAATGAGTGTCTTTAGATGAGATGATGAGATGAGTCTCCAGCCTGTTTATAAAAAAATACCTAAATAACCAGGAGCAGTCAAGCGTTAAAAGCCTACTTCAAACCTATTTGTTTTAAAATAAGTGTTGTTTGATGATTTGCTATCGCTAAGAGTATGGAGAGTTTTTTACGCCGGCTTTTTCTCTCGGCCTACACCCTGTCTTCTTTGCCGATGAGTAGGGATTTTTACCGATTCAAATTTAATGACGTGGAATAAGTGATACGTGTATCTTATGTTCCATAATAAACGTATTTTATTTTTATTTTTAAACTCATAGTTAGGGTCCCAACATTTAATCATTATATTCTTTTCTTTTTAAATTTGTCATATATTATATTTTGTAGTAGGAAGCCATTATAATCCTAGGTTGTGTTTATTGTCACATTAGAATTTCTATAATCTCTATTTCATTTTGTTATGAAATCTTTTGTCATTAACGGTTTTTGTATATACAATACAAAAGAAAATATTCTTATTATAATTTAATATTGTCTTGGTGTTAATAATCTAATCACATTTAGAGGGAAGATAAAAATTGCGTAAAAAATATTTTACTGTTCATTCTTCTATTTGTAATAACTAATAACTGAAATCTTTAAACAGTTAAAGTGCTCAAGATTTTTTTCCATCAATAATATGGGATTCATTATTGTAGTGATAAATAACGCTTGTTATGTTTGTTGTTTAAAGGGTAACATGACAGTGTCATTTAGTTCCTAGTGGTCTATTCTATCTATCTATCTATCTAGTGGTCTATCGAAATCCTAAATACCTTTCGGTACTAAGTCTCTGAACCATTAAACCACGGAGGCAGTAATGTAATTGAAAATTAAAATGCTTACAATATTATTTTCAGGTGCTAGCTGCAATATGTTTGATACCGAATGGCCACGAAAAAGTTCTAGAAGCGATCACGATGGCCGGCGAGTCGAGTCGAAAACCAAGATTGCTACCCATTGTGGAGGGACTTCATCCCAAAGCGCCTGAGAGTTTAAAGGTTTGCGGTTTAATCATCTAAGTACGTGATGAATATTTCTGAGAAAAAGACAGTGTCGAGACTTAGTTAAGTGTTACTTCTGTATGTCTAATACAATACGTTTTTGTTATATGGGAGTCGTTGTGTTTCATTGGAGGTTTCCTTTTCTTTGGAGGTTTACAAATTCCTTCAATAGGATTTAATATTTATGATCGATATTTGTATCTAATGATCGTTATAATGCATAAACACTAGCCATTTGTTTTTTTTTTATAAATTTTAATTTGACCGGGATTTAATGCATTGTGTAAATTTAAAATAGTTAGTAAGTAGTATTGGTAAGTTTTTTTTAGATTGAAAGAATAAATCGAATTAACCAAATTTACTAAAGTAATTATTCTAACTTTCAGAACGGCTGCATGCAACTGATGAATGCAATAATAACGGAGCCAGAGGAATTGGAGTTTCGAATGCATTTGAGAAGCGAATTTATGAGAACTGGACTTTATGATCTGATTGGTAATAATAACAATTTACTTACATCACAATAACACAAAACAAGAGAAAAAAAAAACAATTTAAATAGGCTCCCTTACTAATAAAATCAGTCTCTTCAAGAAGGTTTGATGATTTCGTATATGTAGAATCGTATCCGAAACTTTTTAAAAAAATTTGGAATTTCGGAATGACAATGTTGTGTCAAGAACGTATACATTTTCCAAACAATACGTATAGTCTCTATTTAATTCCAAATACGTTCACTAAAAGCCTGAAATGTATTGGCCGACAGTGCACTTGCGAGCCTTCTGGCAGTGCGAGTGTCCATGGGCGTATCACTTAACATCAGGTGAACCTCCTGCCCGTTTGCGTCCTGTAACATAAAAAAATATTTAAGTATTCGTTTAAATTTTTTTTGAAGTCAAGCAGCAAATTGATCGCTGTTAGCAATTCAGATAATCAAACCACCGAGCTATACGCATCTTTACCATTTTGCAACAGAGGTAGTACATAATAAAATCCATCAATAAACCTTTATATTACAGAGGATTTAAGAGCGGGTGCGGAAGATGGCGGTCGTCTGATTCAAATGAACGTCTTTGATACTTACGCTACTGCGGACCAAGAGGAGTTTCTCGCTAAGTTTGATGATGTCAGGTAATTCATTTTACTAGTTTCCAACTCCGATATTTTAAATAAAATTGTCTAAAATGTAATGCATAAAAGCAAAGTCTGGTTTTCAAAAAGTATTTTAAAGATTATTCATCAATCACAATTAAACGACACGATCTGTAAATTCGTTTTAATATTGAAAATGATAGACAAAAACACTAGGCAGGTGTAACCAACTGGTCAATATGTACCACTTGAATTGCGTAAGATATTGTAATTTATTTATTTGATTAGTAGTATTCCTATAGCTACTTCAATAGTAATAGTCACACAATTATACGAAGCCAAAGGAATATATATTACTAAGTGGGTCAGTTTCAAAATACTTTAGTCTTGGGCCCTAGTAATAGTCTTACACTATTGGGAGTTCATTGAACTTTTTCGATTCTATATACAGGTTTGTGTCGGCCTTTAATTATTGAAAAATAAAATATTAAGATGATATTTGTAATATTTCAGAGTGGACTTCCAAGACGTGAACGAGTGCTTCGAGCTGGTGAAGAATCTGGTACTGGAAACTCCAGCAGAACCGTTCTTGCTCTCCATATTACAGCATCTGCTATTCATCAGAGATGATGAGCTTATAAGGTTACTAATTATTCTGTGGTTTAATGCTAATCAAGCCGTGGTGAGATAGGATCATGTCCATAGTTCAAATGTAGTCAAGAGAATATAATATAGATATGTATGGTTATACCTGCTCCCTATTTTTATATTATTAAAAAAATTATAATTAATTATGTAGAATTGACATTTAAAACATCACTAACTAGATCACAGCATCTGTGTATTTTTAAGCCTCGAAACAATTTTTTTTTAGAAGTTAATAGATCTTTACTAATTTTATACAAACTTATCTAGTGAGAGTTAATATTTTAAAATTACAATATTTTTAATTAAGTAAATAATAAGTTCTTAAAATAACACGCGTGCTTAAAATATGAAAAAAAAATATGATATTACAAATCAACATTAAAGCAGAAAACACAATTTAAATAATAAATTGTAAGAATCATTATAATATGTTCAATATAGAAAAGAAATAACAAAAGCCATTCTATCAAATAAAAGATATTAATGGTTTCAGACCTGCGTACTACAAGCTAATAGAGGAATGTGTAACTCAAATAGTGTTACACAAAAATGGCTACGATCCCGACTTCAGACTGACACAACGATTCAATATTGATGTACAGCCTTTGATTGACGGACTTATTGGTGAGTGTTAAAACAAAAGTTATATTAAAAGTAATAACTACACTCATAATTCAATATAGTAATAAGCTCAGCGTAATAACACTTATACTCTGATTTTTGATTCCGTAGAATTCTGACAGCTATCATATTTTGACATCAGAGTGATTAGAAACCATTTTGGCCGGGCACATATTTCAATTTTAAAACGAGTCTGAACATCTGAGTCTATATGTACATACATTTTATATGTTATTGAATGTATCCATTTTATTAAGTGCGGTGCTCCACATTAAAAGTGGTTTTACGGCGAGAGATAATTACGTCCCTTTTCATCACAAACAGTAAAAAACGCACAAGTAAAGATAACATTTAAAAGGTTCACTATACCTGGAATTAGTAGGCAGTGATGCCAGCTAAAGAATAAAATAAAGTAATTAAAGTTAATTCGATATATTGTTCCGTGATATTGAAATATTTGTTATTTTTGTATTAGATCACTTGAGTAAGTAAAAATTTAGATTTACCTTTTTGTTGGTAAAACATAAGAATACGTAGCATTTTATTTTTTATTGCCCTTAAATGGGTCAAAATTGTCCATTTTTCGGTGGAGAACTTTTTTAGGAGCAACACTTATGAAATGTCAGAATTCTACGGAATGAAAAATCAGAGTTTAGGGTATGGTAAAAAACTTACGATTTAACTCCACAGAAAAGTCTAGAGCAGAGGAAGAAAAGAAGCTCGAAGAGTTAAAAAGTAAACTGGAGGTGGCCATCTCGGCCCGACAGGAAGCAGAGGCCAGGGTGACGCATCTAGAAGAGAGGATGAAAAGTATTTCTACGCCGAGTGGGCCTGGTGGAGTGTCTCAGGGAAATATCGCTGCTATTGCTAAGGTAAAGTCAAAGTCAAATCATTTATTTCAATTAGACCTCCTAAAATGGCACTTCAAACAAAATACAAAGAAGATTCTAGTTGCCCCTTCCAAAAGGTAGTTTCGTGTGGAGAAGAATGGGCAAGAAACTCCACACTTACTCTTTTAAAATAGGTTTACAATATTTTGTTACATTTGTTAAATAATTATATGTGACTCACATATTTACAAATATCGAAACTTAGAATTTTTACATTAAAGAGTAATAAAAATAATAAAAAAACACAATAAAACAGTGTGTGAGATAAAAAAAAATTTATTATAAATTTAAAAAAAAAATAACAAAAATATGTTAAAGCAAAAAATGAGCAACCAATTTGATTGTCCTATGGAGCTGGACCAGCATGTTTCCAAGCATTCTTATCTTGTAAAACAGACTAGTACGTAAATCGCGTCAACAGATGGCGTTAACATCAATCCAGCTTCCTTTTGACCAAAGTCAGCGAAGGGCTTGTCGAATTGTCAATATTCAACGTATTACTGATTGGCTTGATTCTCTCTCTCTCTACGCAGAGACATTGTGTCTCTATGCGTATCCTACAACGAGTACTATGGAGAATGTTCTGAAGAGTTTGGGTTGATCCCTCCTGCCTCATTTCATCACCGTACAAGCCGTATTAATCAAGCTTATTGGTCTTCCCTGGGAGATACGACCTTCTATTGTTTGAAAAGAGAATATATTCCTCGCTAAAAGGCCAGCGACGCCACTAAAATGGATGTCCATGGTCTGAGATGATGAAATAAAAGTAGTAGAGTTGCTGGATTTGTTGTAAAACACGTTTTTTTTTTTTTTGTGCGGTACCTGAGTTATAAGAATCGTATATGTACGTGGCTCTACCCACATACACAGTCCTACATAAAATAAAAGTAAGTGGGGACTTACACGCAGCTTATAAAACAAGAAGTTAAATTCTACAACCCTTTTGTCATACAATTGTTCGTAAAGTTATTTTAAGATTTATCCTAAATTGTAAACATTTTAGTCCTAAACGTTCAGTAAAGGAGTATTTATGTAAGAACCTGTAGGAGAAACCTCCTCAAAATGGCGCGTTCCAGTTTGATTGTGCTACTTGGTCAATAGAATGTTTTTTTGATACAGTAACGCAGCTAGCCAAAGTCGACCTGGCTATTGAACGATGTTTCGTCCTTTTGGCCACATTATCACCATCTCGTTTTATTAATTAAAGGCGTTTTCTTAAAAAAAATCCCTTGCCTTGTTTGTGTTTCTATTTTGGTCTGCTGATTTTTTTGATTTTCTAATATTCAAAACTGCTTAAGAAACCCTGATGTCATGTAATTATTTTATACTTTTGGCTCGTACACACTTATATATATTATTTTTTTTATTTATATATAATCTCTAAATAATTTTTTAGGCAATCGGCAGCCCCGGAGGTCCACCCCCACCGCCGCCGCCGCCTATGCCTGGAGGTTTGTTATTTAAATTGCATGAAAAATTATTGTTTGCACAATTCTATGCTATCTATGTAAAACAAAAGTTTTGTAAATACAAAATGATGAGTATTTTTTTTGTATGAGTTTAAACCAGAGACAAATGAGAACTTTCAATGACAAATGGTTTTGGGATTTTGACAGATGGGGGAGTTCGTGGGTCGAGACTTATCACGAACTATGAATTTATTTAAGACATAATTTATCCTAATCTGGCCCAGAAATTACAGCAATGCTAACAAAGCACTATCTATCTCTTTCGCACATATGCATGTTATTCACCTTTCTCTGTCTGTCTAGGAGGGCCACCGCCACCGCCGCCGCCACCATTCCCCTCAGGTTAGTTATGGGAGATTTATATACAGGATAGACATCTTATTATGCAAATGTTAAATTATGGAAGACTAACAAAAGAAAAACTACAAGTTTTCTTGATTATTTTGGTATTAGAAGAACATCTTCAAATTTTTCTTAAAATTCATGCATTAGTTTTCTATCTGATATTTTTAAGAAGTAATATTTTTTTTTTCAATAATAACTATTAAGTATTTTATTATTATGACTTTTAAGGGTTAATTAAATAACAGCGCATGAAATACAACTATCTCCCTCACTCACACGCATGTGTTGTATCTATCTCTTTCTGGTGTCTGCTTCTAGGTGGTCCCGCGCCACCACCTCCGCCTCCTATGCCTTCAGGTTGGTATTTTGTAAAGCATTCTATGAGTAAAATTGTAACAAATAGTTTATTAACGAAAATATATTGCGTTTTCTGTCATTTATATATTTAGTTAAATGAAGCTTTAGTGACGTGTACATACATTTATACTTTGTCGGATTATTTTTTATATAATTTTATTTAAGACTATATGAAGCATTTGTAAAAAGTTGAATAAAGACTATACTACCCTTTCTGGAACAAACTTATGAACACACTAATAGTGTTAAATAATTATAATATGTGCAGCTTTAAGTATGTTACTGAATGAAGACATTATAGTATTTATTTTTTATTAATGACACTTTATAGTTTCTGATACCACGCAGTTCGAGGGAATTTTTGTATAAAATGTCAATGTCATTTAGAATTCTCTTAACAATTCAGTGAGTTCACGGAATTCCAACGTGGTGTACTAACAAACGACGTACTAATTTTAACTAAAGACTAGAGAATACAAACAAGTGTCCAAATTTAACTTCTTTATTTGGTGTTTTATTAAATTAAGAGATTTACTCTACAGGAGGGTCAGGGCCACCGCCTCCCCCCTTCCCAGGAATGGGGGGGTCCACCACCGCCCCCTATGCCGGGAATGGGTCCGCCGCCACCGCCTCCTCCTCCAGGAATGGGACCAAGACCACCGCCCCCGCCGGGAGGCTTCATGGCGCCTAGGATGGTAAGTTTTAACACAATAATTATTAAAATATGAAATATATGTATTATGTATGTGTATAGTCGTAACGTGCTAAGGGGACGTAGGGGTTACTTATACTTACCTCACTGTAAGCACTCTTAAATTTAATGATAAATGCCCCTTTATGAACGTGCCCTTAAACATTAGGGTGCTGTGTAATATTTGACATAAAGACACTACGCGGTACAACCATTTTAGGTCTGGGCCTCAGATTTCTGTATCTGCTTCAAGATCATTTGTCAATCCAATAGGAGATCAGCCTCCTGTGCCTGACATACGGCGTCGACGGTTTTGGGTCTAAGGCAAGCCGGCTGCCTCACGATGTTTTCCTTCACCGTTCGATTGAATTTTAAATGTGCACATAGAAAAACAGTCCATTGGTGCACTGCCGGGCATTGAACCTACGACCTCAAAGATTATAGTCGCACGCTGATGCCACTGGGCCGACACTGCTCATTTAACGTAAAACACTAAGTATAAAGTGTTTTTTTTTACGTTGAATCAAGGCAAACAGTTGAGCTATGATTTGAATTCTGTGTAACAAAAATGAATCTGCCCCTTCATGGCTTGTAAATGACAAGAATGTTTAAAAAGTTATTTAAGATTTGTTTTATTTTAGCCACAACCAGATATCCTACCTCACGGTTTGAAGCCTAAGAAGAAGTGGGAGGTCGAAGGACCCCTAAAACGTGCCAACTGGAAAACTATTGTGCCACAAAAAATGTCCGAAAAGGCTTTTTGGGTTAAGGTATGTACAGCTTTTGAACTATTTGAATGTGAATTTAGCATGTTTTTACCCACTAAGACACACAAAGATACTAAAGATCAAAATTTTTTTCATAATAACTAATGCAAATGCAGTAGTAGTTTTTTTTTATATAAAGACAATTCACACCAATTGACCTAGTTCCATGCTTAGCTGGTAAAGCTTGTGTTATGGGTCCTAGGCAACGGATATACATACATATTATAGATAGACATATAAATACATATTTAAACACCCAAGACCTAAGCACAACACCAAATGCTCATCACATCGATGTTCGTCTCAGCCAGGGATCGAACCCGGACCCATGGATTCGCAGTCAGGGGTACTAACCGCTAGACCAATGAGTCGTCAGTTTATCGTAGCATTATATGTTAAATTTTTGTTCTTATATTAAAACGTGAAACAGGTTCGAAACTAGACGCGAGGTCTGCCAGCCAATTGTTTCCCTGTAAAAGTTTTAACGCAAGATACAGAACACAATAAAGGAACTTTAAAATACGTACATTCGAATGCGCATCGTTAAATTAATCGTTTAAAGCATTTTGTAAAGGCGTGTTGAGATTTAAACTCAATTGCAATTGTCCTTAAGAAGTCCTTAGTGATTGTTCTTGACACAATATTGATTAAACTACAGTACGTAGATACATTATGAGGTAACCTAACATTGAACCACATCCAGACGACCCTGCGAGCTCACAATTTATATTAATAACCTAATTACTCTTGTAACCATGATTAGAAATTACCTACGTACATGGCCCAAAAGTACGCGACTTTTAATGCAAAAATTGTATACGTATTGTTAAACAATAATAAACTTTCTCCAGGTACAAGAAGATAAATTGGCGTCACCAGATATCCTAAGTGGTCTCGCGTTGAAGTTCTCAAGTAAACCAGTTGCTAAGAGAAACGAGGATGCTGTTGATAAGTGAGTTATTTTTGTTCAATTTCTTTCTCTTCACTCTTCATTGAAATTTTATTGAGAATAGAAATTCAAGTTTTCTGTATATATCAATACTAGTAGACTCGGCCAAGTGTTGCTGTGGCTAAGATTTTTGTTATATTACATAGTAGTAAACTATTCAAGGGAAACGGCTTGCTTGAAATGCTTTTTTGGTGGATATGCCAGCTGCGGATAGCTTATGTGAAACGTTGGTACTTTCAACACAGCGCCATCTGTTAGAATTTTGACTATCAAATAATAAACCAATAATTTGCAATAAAGTAATTGAGATGTAAGCTATCCTATCTTTTAAGTTGGATCAAACTACACACGGTGTGCAAATTTGATTGATATCGGTTCGGTAGTTTAGGAGTCCACAGCGGACAAACAACGTGACACGTAATTTATATATATTAAGATATATATATATATGTATATAGTAAATAGATTGTAAAATATATATGAACTAAAATATTATTGAATAAGCTACTACTACCGCTACTGGATACTAAATCATAAAATTTGGCTTTTTTTTTTATTGTCTATAAGCTCTGTTAAGTGGAGAATTACTCACTTTGCTTATAAGACCGCCGTGCAAACCTCTAATCAAATTTTTATCAATATTTTTTTTAGGGTGCACACACTAAAAAAAGTGAAAGATTTGAAAGTGCTGGATTCGAAGGCTGCTCAAAATCTGTCGATCCTTTTGGGTGGTTCGCTCAAACATATGTCGTACGAACACATACGTACGTGTATCTTAAAGTGCGATACTACAGTGCTCACGGCAAATGTTTTGGATCTCTTGATACAGGTAAATTGATCTCGGAAGAATTTCGATATTTTTTCGAATTATGTATATAAATTAATGTTTAGATATGATGTTGCTATGGATTTCATAATCTTAAATCATGAAGAACACGTTGCTGTTTTTTTATTAATTATTATATGAAAATAGCCTGCTGTACCGTTCAAACAAAAATATATTTTTTATTTAACCAACTTAAACTATATAAATATCAACACATAACTCAAATAAAATTGAATTATTCATCTTGGTAACTATTTACACTTTTTTACATTTAACATTTAACATTGAAAAAGCCTTAAGAACCGTGACGATGGTAACAAAAACGTTTATATTTTGTATAGGGTTTAACATTATTATAAAAACAACGAGACATGCAAAAAAATATAGTTTTATCATATTTTCATTTTATTAAATACTTGTATTGCTAGCTAGCTATCTTTACTTTTTTTCTTTTCTATCTTACAGTACTTACCTCCAGCAGACCAGTTAAAGAAACTGGCTGAACTTAAATGTAAGAGTCAAGAACTGACTGAAGCTGAACAGTTTGCGGCGACAGTTGCAGATATTAAACGATTGGTGCCGCGGTTAAGGAGTTTAGCATTTAAAGAACACTATAGGGAGATAATATCAGAAGTTAAGCCGGTAAGAGAGAAAGAGATGGAGTTATTTTTATCACATATGTTATTTTTGTTTCCTTCTATTAATTTATTACAGTACGCCACATCATATATAATGCGTTTTTGAAGTGAAACTTCTTTATCGAGGTTGGAAAAAAATGTAGTGTAACATTTTTTCGTTACGCGTCACATTTTTCGGTTACGCGCCATGTTGCTTTTTGAAGTCAAACTTCTTTATCGGCGTTGGAATGAAACTTCTTTATCGACGTATGGGAGAAATTTTGTAGCAAATCGTCACGTTTTTCAATGATAGTAATAATTCTATTACAATTAATGAAATTCTATAATAATCTTTGTAGTAATAAGGTAAAATGAAATATTTGTATTCATGTCTATGATAATAAAAGCCTTTTGTTAAACTTTATCTAATTTAACGAATTTCTGTAAAGTTGCATATAGTAGATCATTTTTCGAAAAATAAGATCATAAAGAAGTTTCACTTCTTACGTGTGTACACCTAGTACACGCACAATTTATTTTAAGTTTAAGATCTACCTATTCTAAAATAAATGACAATACAGTGAACATTATTTTCACAAAAAGCCATAAAAATATTGCACTTCACTTCATAATGCTAACAATTATTAGGTACCAGATAGGCGCTTATCAATTTTTTTTAATTGATCAGCCCACTACCGAGAATAGCATAAACACTACTTATTCCAAGTAGCAAGCCTTCGCAAACAAGCAAGTAGTGTTTATTCTGTTATATCGAATGAGAGAATTGTTATGAACATTGACGAACCGTTACGGGAAGCTGGAATCTAGTTAATAATATAAGTTAACAGTATTTAATTAACAATTTTATAACAGGAAATGTTAATATTTCTAGGATATAGTGTCAGGCACGGCAGCCTGTGAGGAGGTAAAGTCGAGCGGCAAGTTTTCCAAAATCCTTGAACTTCTGCTTCTATTGGGTAACTATATGAACACGGGGTCAAATAACGCTGGCGCTTTCGGATTCGAGATCAGTTTTCTTACCAAGGTATTTAGATTTTTGTTGACGTTACATAGATAATGTTAAACTTGATAAAGTTAAATGATTATTAAATACAACTTATAATTAATTTTTGAAGTAATGGTTTTTGTTTTCAGTTAACAGCCACAAAGGACTTGGAGAACAAGCAGACATTGTTACACTATTTAGTGGATACGATAGAACAGAAATTCCCCGACGTACTTAATTTTGCGGAGGAGATGCCTCATATTGACAGGTATTCAGGACTTTTGTTTACATATAAACTCTAAAAATACGCGTAAATTTACACGATTATAAGACAAGAGACTAGGTCAGAGAATTAAATTTCATTTAACTGAAATCGACCTTAGAACGTAAATTTCCTTAGGTGCCCGTTTTTTGCAAAAGAGTTTATAATTGGAGCCTTCTGAATTAATATATACCTTCTAATAATTATTTCTTTTCAAAGTATTATTAGTGACTTTGTTAAGTTAAAATTCAGAATAGGAGTTGAAATTTAACACACGTGTGTTTTACCCGGGAATAAAGAAAACTTAGGAATTCGACAGAAATAGTTGCAAATTAAACTACGTATTTTTACTTTAAATAATGCTTTTTAGGGCAGCGAGAGTGTCAATGGAGAGTCTACAAAAATCGTTAAAGAAAATGGAAAATGACATTCGCGCTTTGGAGACGGACCTGAACAACTCGCGGGTACAACAGAGCCCTGACGACTTGTTCAACGAGTCTATGAGCGTATCCTTTTCACTAAAATGTATTTAGAAATAATAATACTATTCATGACAGAAATATGGTTATGAAAAAATTGATCTTACGCTAGTCCCCACAGCTGTTTTGTTCTTAAGATTGCAATTATTATGATGTATGTTTAAAACATAAAAAAACAAACAGAAGTCGTGTAAGACCTTAAGTATGCGTGAATGCGTGAGTTTGTGAATGGGTGTGTGTGCGTACTCTGTATGAGAATGTGTCTAAGAAAAATAAACGCTGTATCTGTCTAGTTTTTCAAACCTTAGAGTCATGCCAAGATATGTAGTATTATTTTTATCTAATATTTGATATTGTAGGTAGAATAGAGATTGGTTTGTAATTGCCGGGGTCGGTTTTGGGGCCAGATTTATAGATTGGAGTCACTTTGGCTTTTTTTTTGGCGTGATTAATCAGTTCAAAAGGGCATTAAAGATACACATCAGAATGAGCCCATTAGACTAAAATTGGGCTAGCTGATGGCGACGTGTATCTCGTTCGTATATAATATTAAATTTCTCATGTAAATAAAAAATAATTTTTGTAATGAGAAATAAAGTTCTTTAAACACTAAACACTATCTTATTGGTGTGATTAAGATATTTTTTGGAGTTTTAACAGAATTGTGTTAACAAAACACTTTAATTCCTGTATTTTGATAGTTATGTTAATTGAAAGGTTTGGTAGAAAAATAGAAAAACTGAAAATCTTATCTATACTGAAAAACAGTTTAACATAGATTATATAAGAACTTCTTTGACGTAGGGTCCTTCAAGAATCCTTCCAATTATTGTTGTGTTGTACTCACGTAACCTATAGGTGTTAATTGATTGATTTTGTCCTAAAGTGTGGCACAGTCGAACAGTAAAAAATATCATATGAAACTAGGTTTTCTTAACGTAGTCCCAAAATAGAACATTAGGTACAGAAGTCGAGTTTAAAATATGTATTTCCTTAAACAAAAATCAGAGCTTTGCCGTTGAAGCACGTGAGCAATGCGATCTCCTCCACTCGATGTTTAGGAAAATGGAGACATTGTACAAGGGTATAGCGGAGTACTACGTGTTCGATCCTCAGAAATATACGCTAGAGGAATTCTTCTCGGATATCAAGACGTTCAAGGATTCTTTTGCGGTAAGTTTATTCTTAGTTGAAATTGAAAATAATTACAGAATATGATTTTGATATCACTTGTAGTTTATTGTTTTTTTTGTAGTTTATTGAAGTGTAACTTCTAATGCGACTTCCAACAAGGTTGCGTTAAACGTTTAACGCAACCGGAAGGGGAACAGAAAGAGACAGAGCGAGAGTGAATGCTTCCTATTTTCATTTCCACATTACGAAGTTTCACTTCTTCGCGCGGAGGGACTCTACGCAGTATTTTTTTTCTTTATTTATACTTATAGATGTATATTCACAATATACCATCATAATTATTAACATAAAAGCTCAGGGGCATTACCACAATTGCCAAAGCGAAATATCGTATTGCATTGACCAGAATTCAACATACTACAGTAGTAGTAGTCAAAACTTCCTAGAAGACAACGCACATAACATCCATGGGCTGCGCTAGCTGCCTTTTATAGCTGTTCCGATGGCTCGATTGCCCCTCTATCATATAAAAAAACGCAGCACTAGTAGTAATGATCTTTTAAGTTTCGCCATTATCCATATTTGTAATCGTGTCATCGCTATTTTAAAGTTTTTTTTATCATTTCTTCAGGCGGCATATCAAGACAACGTAGTAATAAGAGAGACGGAAGAGAGAGCTAGAAGAGCAAGAGAAGCTCGTGCTACCGCTGAAAGAGAAAGAAGAGATCGCCAACATCGGTACAAGCAGTTTGTGGACATGGAACATGCCCAGGATGGTGTTATGGATAGGTACGTATAGTTTGCAAGAAGTTTCGAGAAGGGAGTAAGAAAGACGTCTTATTCTCTTATTTTACTATTGTACCCATAACGGACGATAATGCATGGTGAATGTCATGGAGCGAAAGAAGTATGTCAGGACCGTAGCAAGTGGAGATCCATGCTCTCTGCCTACGACTTCGGGAAAAAGACATCATCACGTCGTATAAATAAATATAAAAAATCCTTTAATTAAGGTTAAAATAAACTGCGATAGAAAGAGATTGAGACCAGGAGTAACATTTCTTTTTCGTTTCTTCTCTCATAAGCTGAAGGAAGAAAACACCTGTCCGAAGTAATGTAAATCTTGAATTTTTCATTTTCAGTTTGATGGAAGCGTTACAGAGTGGTTCAGCGTTCAGCAGAGAACGGCCCAGAAAGAAAGCCAATCCCAGAGTTGCAGGAGGTAATATTTATATTATTTTAAATCTGATTTTTTAAGAGGAAAACAAAACATAGTATAGAATTTTTTAAACAAATTTTTATCATTTAGAACACCTAAGACCTTTATTCATAGAAAATATTTTAATTTTATGGTTATGGTTGTGGTATAATAAGGTTCATATTTGCACGCACACATTTAGAGGACACAAGCCAGGAGGAGAGTTTAGTGCAAGCGATTTTGCACCGTATTGCAGGTATAGCACATTAGTATGCAGGTTCGATTTTGGACAATAATTTACCTAATTTTACGATCTATTTTCTTTTGAATGATGATAAGTATGTTTCTCCCTTTATCCTCTTCATTTACTTTTCACGTCATTGCGTTCACCGTACACGCTTGGAAGTTTAGTTTATTTTATCAATATGTTACGTAGGTTTTGATGCGATTAAAACGTATACCATTTACTAACCACAACTTCACAATCTATATTCTGATTTCATCTTATGTGATAATGACAAATGAATCATAAGTCATTAGGAGGGTATGAAAGCCCGATTATACATCCACAATCCTAATCTTAACTTCTTAATTTATATTATCTCTTCCTCTCTATTCACTCTTTTTCACGTACGTATGTGCTTGTACGTTTAAAAACGTGCACCGACGTCTACTAATTTCAATTTCACAATCTGTATTCTAATTTTATCTAACGTGATAATGATAAATGAATAATAGTCATGATGGCGGGTATCAAAGTCGGGTTATACATCCACAATCCTAATCGTAACTTCTTTAATTCGTCCCTGGCTTAGGATTGTACCCGACCCGAAATAGATAAAAGGTTTTAGCGAGATAAATTTACTTGTACTACCAAAAGTTTGACAAAATATAAACACTAACGTACAAGAAGTCTGTGTCTAATATGTGATATATTATCTATATGTGTGTATATATGATATATTTTGTCAAACTCATGATAGAGCTACTAGAACTAGTTCCCGCATTGACACCTATTCATTTAATATATATTGTATGATTATTATCATTTAATTATTAGGCCTTAAAATGCCAATATTGCGTTCATATATCCCTTCTATACTAAATATCTTTTATCTTAATGGGCGTGGTTACATGAATTCCAAAGAAGTACTGTAATAAAACTACTGGTGTATTATAACTATAATTCCTATATAGATGTGTCGATTCGATATGGAGGCAAGCGCGTGCGACGTTCTACTTCACCAAAACTCGAGACTTACAGACAAGTAGTATACTACTAACGCTTTAGATATTGTATCGTGATATAACATTTAAGACACGACATACATGTTTACTTAGTTCTTCTAGTTAGATATTCGTAGGCGTTACCCTACGTGTTATTCTAAATATATTGTAACAATATAACATGTCTATGGTATGCGGGTAACTTAGAAGTTATTTTAATATATTAACAATCCTTATAACTTTTGATGTTGTATTGTGTAATTGTATGTTAATTAACATTACAGAGGCATAACTTGTCAAATATACAAACTCAGGTATTGATTTGGCTTCGTTAAACTTATGTAATATTGTTTAAACTTGCAAAGTTTAAGACAATTACTGCAAGTACCTATTTTTAATTAAACACACAAAGTCGTTTATTGAATTTTTTCTTTAAATAATTTAAAGCTTCATGTGTCAATTTGTGTCTCTCAGGCAGTTTCTTCATATATATTTTTAAATTTCAGCTGAGCGAAGAGCGCAGTTGAACCGTTCAAGATCGAGGTCTGGTTTAACCGGACCGCTTACGACTAGAGAATTAACGAAGTAAGTATTAAATTCTACACCCCACATTCTAGTTAGGCACCATATAGGCTTGACAACAGAAGTCTGCTGGCTTAGAACGCACAGTGCGTATAACCCTAAGTACATATTAGTGTGTGGGATAAACATATTGAGAAGGTGACTTTAGAAGCGAAATCATATTTTGATTTTCGATTCCTTGAACTTCTTTTGGGAGGTTTTTCGTCGGAAATTATTTCAGAGATATATAGTTAGTTTTAGTACAAGTATTATAGTAATTAAAAATATGTTTACAGTGAGTTGCTGAGCAACGCGTGATGTCATCAATCAGTGATATTAGTGTATTATTAACTAGTTGTTAAGTCAATCGAATGTCATGGCCTACTTGTACTTTTTAATCTGTGTACGCGGTTCTATCTGTCGATGTCAAATGTCTATTTGAATAATGTGATTTTTTTTTAATTTTATGGTCTGGTAACAAAATTTAATAAAAAGTAGAATAAAAACTTACAAAAAGAGATTGGAAAAAGTTAGCCTATTGTCAATCATAATAAAACTGATTGATAAAGAAGCTAGCTGAAGAATACAAGTGCTGCAGTCATAGGAGTAGTTACTTTGAAACTTTCTGTGTTGTAAAATTCAAGAAAAGAAATACAAACCATCTCAAATAGTTCTTATAGTGTCAGCGACGGAACTCTCGGTTTTAAAATCAACGCTGCGTATAGTCGTTATCACTATAGAAGTTACAGAGTACCCACGCAGTTTATTATTTTCTATAGCACTGACCAATCAGTAGGATACGAATGAATAGAAATGATAATCCTTAATTAGATTTACGCAACTAATAAATAAAGTTTTTAGAACTATCTAATCGTAAAATATCATGTTTGAACTACTAAAGCAATATCGTATTTAATCATCGTGAATCATCAATCGCGAAGAAGCTGGATTAGCTCTTCCAAAATTAATTATTTAAAAAAAAAAATGTTTTTATTTACGTTAAAGTGCGATTGGTAATGTCGAAACGTCAAAAGTAAGAACAAACATATCAATGACAAATAGAAGCGCGTACTCGCCCGCCAGAGGGCTCTTCCAACAGGTGTATTATATTATTTGTCTCAGACTTGTAAGGCAAAGGAGTATCAGTAAACATTAGATCTTATATATTACGAAAACTAACAATTATAAAATAATATTAGAAATTTTTTATAGAACAAAATGCTAGTAAAAATAATAACGAGGAAAAATCATAAAACTCAAAAGCCACAAAAAATTAGAAATAAAAATTAGCCTATTTATTTTTTTGCCTAATTATTGAAATCTTGTATGGAATATTAGTATACAAAAACAAGGTTATTAGTTTACAAAAAAAAATATACATTTGTCTAATGGTTACTGACTCGACTTACTATGAATAGTCTGTATAATTAAGAGTTTTTTTTGTAAATCTCGCAGTAATGTTTAGATGCTTGTATAGGCTGTATTGAAGCTGTCTATAAAATTGGTTACAATTGGATTACACATATTGTCCTTGTCTAAATAGTTCGTGTCTATTCCAAAAAAATAGGATCCCTTAGAAGTCTATTTGCATTGTATATTTTGGATTTTTCGTATGAATCTCATTATTTTTTTAAATATTTTATAGACAGCTCATTTATTTCGATGCAATTTAATTTATTACAGTATTTAAACTGTCCAATATGAAATAATAATTTCGTCCAACGTTCAAATGTATCGCACAATAAAGCGAATTATACACTTTATTTATTTTGGTTTAATAACATTTATACAAATAAGTTATAATGTGTATAAACATGAGTTTTAAATAGATTAATAGAACGATGAATTTTAAAGGATTATTATTTGATATGTTTTTAAATGTAGCATTTTAATCGCTCTTTGAGATACACAAACAAATTAGCTGTAAGATTTGTTTTCATAAAATATGCTTTTTAAATAATAAAGAAATATTGAATTAATTGTTACATTAGAATTTCTTATTTTAGTTCTGATTTTTTAATGAAGCCATAGTAACACTGGAAACCGGTTTGATGCTGATTAAAATAGGATATAAAAGAGATAGTGTTTGCATGGTCAATTTTGGTACTTATAATTTACTTTGCAGTTTAGTTATATTTGGACAAAAATCGTAAGCTCTTGATGAGATAAATTATAACTCTTGATCATTAATCTAGCGAAATTTACGAAATGTGATTTAATATGTTCAATTCTAATTATTTTTACACAATACCTTTCCGAACATCGTAACATAGGTTTTTTTATGACTTAGTAAAAATAGTAGTCGCACAACACGTGTTAACTAACGAATTCTTTAAGATTTTTGGCCTAATTCATAAACGTAATATGAACAGCAATATAGAAGTAAAAATTCTTTCAATACGAATTTTTATTTTAATACTGTTTTATTCTTGCTACGTAGTCGTTAACAAAAGATAATTTAGACTAGTATAAAACATGATCTGTACCATGTTTGTTACCATGGTTACCATACTTCTTACATGAACTGTGCAACTGTGGTAACACAAGGTACTATTTTAAGTCCACTTTTTATTATAAGGCGAGGCGGGTAATACGTTTATGAAAAAGCATGAATAACAAGTGTATAGTTCGCTCAAATGTATTTAATATAAATTAATAAAACAATATTTATATTAACTGGATATATACAGCATATTTTAAGGTTCTGTTATTTTGTTTTTACTTAGATTTTCGTGTCTAAATTGAAAATTTTGTCTTATTAAAAATGTATTTGTAATAAAGACTGTTATTCTAACGGCCATATGTCTGCTTTGACTGAAATTCGCGTCCCTAAATATTAAAAACACCTTGGTCTTATACGCCTAACCAACGAAGACCACATGTAATTCGAAACTGTTTATGAATTTGGTCATTTTATCGTAATCGCTTTTGTAGATCGTATGTTATATATTAATTATATAATGTAAATATATTTTTGTAAAATGTTACATTTTTTGATTAATTACAATGTTTTTAAAACTATTTGGTTTTTTATTTAAAATCTATTATCTATTATTGACCAATACGGATGGTGATTTTGACCTTCTAAATTCGATTGGGTATCGCATAGTACGCGGTGGCTGTCAGGTTACAGAGTGACCTCGTGCAATAGACAATGAGTCTAATTTACTGATTTTGAGGTTATAAGACTACTGTGTCTACCAACCTTAAACAAATTTCGGCGGGGTACGAACCCAAGACTTCTATCAAGTCACATGTATATTAACCACCGTTTTGCCATACATGATATATTTTTCTTAAAACCATATTTATTGGCATCTTCGCCACCTAATCTAACATTGCCCTAGTCCACCTGAAGACGCAGATACAAACTATTCTATAAATAAGGGACGTGTTGAAATTAATAAATCTAATCAAGACAAGCGTGTCTACAGTGAATGATGAACGAATGAAAATACATTGATGACTGACTGATTTGTGTTCCGTGCTATGATTTATTTGTTCTACCTATTTATTTATCAAGGTTCATCAGTTTAAATTCAATTTTTAATTTGTCAAATTAGATATCAATTACACACGTAAATTAATGAACATATTTTGCATTTTGCTGTCTATTTAAAAAACCTAATCAAGTCCTGGAATTTCGATATAGAATGTTTCGCACGACCGATGGAGCAAAATGTTTCTTGAGAGAGTGACATTACAAGTGTGTATTCTAGAAAAACCCAATATATGAGGGTATACCCGCGATACACAATTTGAACATTCTAATCACGTTGGAATTGAAACCTCATTGGCTTAGCACACTAATATGTATGACCTGTATCATCATAGCATCCTGCGCCATTTTATAAATGGAGACTCACTTCAGGAACCTAAAATATCTAAAAAACTTTTTAGTTAATCTCTAGTGCTTGTCTTTGAAAAATTAATCGATCCAAAAATACAAATAATTGCAAGAATTAATCAAAGATGTATATTTGCGAGCGCCTCTAGGCGTGGTTTGGCGCGCGCGCAGTCGCCGCCCACAAATACTTCCTACTTTGTACTGTGAAGACATCTGTCATAATTATCGGAACTATTAATAAAAGGGACAGATTTATACAGCGTGTTATCAAAGGAATAAATAACGAAAGCGCTGCGTAGAGTGAGAAAGGAACACGTTTGAAATGTAGCAACTCAAGATAGACTCCTATTAAAACCAGAAAACAAACAAGATGTTTTCAATAATGTTTTCGAGTGAATCAGAGCTTTTTAAGACTAGTGGTTTAACCTGCAATGCTCAACCCTAATAGGCCGGGAGATAGTGACACAAAATAGTGGGTCATTTGTACCAGTATGGCGGTTCTTCAGGGTCTTATTACGTACTTTGGTACGCTCTTTTCTTGAAGGACTCTAAGTCGAATTGGTTCGGAAATACTTCAGTGGGCAGCTGGTTCCATAAAGTCGTATTGCGCGGCAAAAACTGTAATTTATTGTTCTTGTTCACAAGAGATCGCTCAAAAGCGACAATCGCTAGCTGCCCTCCTTTTTATTTAATTATTTTAATTGTACCGTATTTCTTGCAACGAAGTGTAAATAAATATAGTAAAATAAAACAAGATTTTTTTAAATAATTTAATGAGCCTATTGAGCCATATTCAAGTAACAAATAAAATATTATGTAAGGCACTATACTGAACTTGAATACAGCATCACTTTATAGTTTATGGTTTGGTTTATTTTCTTTGGTTTTTCATGCAAGAATAAACTTTGAATACAAATTTGTATGAATTATCATGTGTTTTTTTGCATAATTTACAATAATAAAACTATATTTAGCACGATTTTTACAATTAAATAAATAATTTACACAACATGTTTATTATAATATTTGGCTATAATTTGTTATATGCTTATTAATTTGCTAGTAAATAAATAGTCTAACTAAATCACACATTGTCTTTAGCTAATGCCTGTACTATACACCGAAGTCTTGCCAAACTGTTAAGGCCACACGTCGAGTCCCCTGAAACAATAATATAACTTTAATAATATGAGTGGAAAACTTAGACATGAAATTCTCAAAAATGACAATATAAAGCCCGGAAACGACAGCGCGTGAAGCACACATTTCTACGTTCGTTTCTTTCTTGGTAAAGCGAGATATTTTATTTTGCCACGACGCGACGGTGTTTGGCGTATTCGCTACAATGAAGAACTTAATAACATCCTTCACGACGCCAACATCGTCAAATTCATAAAGGCTTAAGTGGCTGGGACATGAGCACCGAATGGTGGACGACTGGTCCGTAACCCCAAGGTCCAAGGGGCTATAGCTATTGTTGAAGATGATGAAAGAGATTTAATAGCCTTTTTTAAACTACTAGAACCACTTTGACTTTTACAAGCATATTCATTTGTTAAATATAATTAATTTGCAGAATTTTTTATTCTTTTCTTTTATATAGCCCGTGGTTTTATCGATTTTAATAATTTTTAATTTTTAGGAAATTGTAAACGAAAGAATAAGTAAATTTTCAAAACATAATCAAAGACTGGAATTCAAATTCCAAATAATTTTAATAAAGATTTTTCTATATTAATTTAATTGCCTTGCGCTTGATGCTTGCTGTACAGAGATTTTATATTGGGTTCCACTTTGGTTAGCTTCAGTCTCAAGTCTCCACGTTGTGTTATATCCAGCTGATTTTGGATTGCCCCCCTTAACAATCTAATGTGGGGCTTGGGCCCCACGTTGGGAATCACTGCAGTCTAAACGAAACATTTACTTACTACTTAAGTGGAAATGGGCGGGCCAGACTGCTCGCATGAACAATGGCTGATGGACAAACAGGGTAACAAGGTAGAAAGGACCACCACAGAAAAGAAAGGAGTCGCTTTGTTGTTGGTGGAGAAGATTAGGAGAAAAATGCTCAAGATAGAGAGAGATGGAGCCAGTTGGAAGAGGCCTATAGCCTATAAGAGATCCTCGGAAAAAATCTCTTCTATCTATCTTTTGTGGATACACAGACTTCAAATAATAAAGATGGATGAATGTTTAAGGAGTAAATGAGGCTCAATTATTAATATTAAGATTTGTATCAACTAAATTATTCATACTTGACGCGTTTCCCGCTAGTGAAAACGTTGTCAAAGACAGCTAAAATAATAATATAGTCTGGTCAATCTAGACCAAAAGATGAGAGAGATATCTCAGAAACGGTAGCTCGTAGGAAAAAAGTATTGATACATTTTTATAGATGATTTTATGATCTACAATTTTTGTCTAAGGTACTTTTTATGATAAGACTCACTGTTTTACTGAAAATCGCGAAAAACTAATTTTTTTGACCTTTGAATAATTTTTTTTCCAAACAAGTTCCATGGAACTTTTAAATATTATTTATAATTATGTTTTGAACAATTTTACTGATTTTCAGCTTGTTGGGATTTTATGCACCTTCGAATGTCTAAATTCTAATACTACTACTACTACTACAGTTTACATTTCCAACTTCTTATTTACCATTTAAAAAAGGCTTCTCCCGGTCATTCTTATTGTCTCTGATTTCTGTTCGCGAGTTCGGCGGTTCGACGTATCCTTTGCAGCTCTCCGTCTCCAACTAAAAAAAAATATTTTTCCTTTTATGACAAACAGAAGAACTTAATTAATACTAACACAACAATATTTTACAAGTTGAAACTTTTGTACCCATTAAAGAGAAGAAAACCTTAAAATTTTATCTTTGATAATATCATTTAGGTCCTGGGTAAATGATATCAAAATGCACCTTTTCTTAACTAATTTTGTAGGAAAAGTGCCGGGCATTTATGACTATTAAATATATCTAAAACTGCATTGACGGATATAGATAAAGTGTACTAAAAGTCGAATTATATCCAGTTACAGTTACAAGTGACGCTACAACCTTTTATATCTCTTGGCTTTTCGCACCTGTTTTTTTTTTGACTTATGTACAGTGCCAGTATGTAGTTATCTTGGCCGGTAAGAGCGTCGCTGTCATGGATATTAGTATTGCCAGTAAATAATAATTAACCATTATAAGGGGAATAATTTGAAGTCATGCAGGCTAACTTATAACAATTAATTGAAATGTCAAAATTGAATAGAACAATGTAATATGTATCCTAGTATCTAGAAAATACAGTTCTAGGCTTAAATAAATGTGACACAAACTTAGGAACAACTGATATGATAGGTTTTGTTACCTACTGTTAATATATAAACAAGTATCTGATCGCCTTTTTGTGCCTGACACCTCTCATTAATTCTAACCTACGCCGCATCACGTGTCTCTATTTAAAAAACAAAGACCTCAGAGTTGAAAGTCGCACGCAAACAACACAAATTCTGATTATATTTAAGTTTTAAATATCTTGAGCCGTTCTGTCTGGGGATCATATCCTATGGATTACATAAAATATCACCAATTAAATGTAGCGTCTATTTGTGCGCGCGTGCACGTGTAGCTATAAATCGTGTCTGGCGGGAATTAATTGCTGTTTAACATCGCGACATCTTTCCGCGACTTATCGTCCATCAGTTATTTTTGGGGCTCGGATCTTTTTGCTTTGATGATAGTAGGAACAAGAAAATATTAATTTAATATAGAGGATATATTATTATATATAAAAATGATACCAGGGCGCTTTTAAATGAAATATTTTGTTTGGATTTTTTAAGTGGATTCATTCAGAGTATTTGCAGTTTTTATATTGCAACATTGTTGAAGCCAGTTGTTATTCACACTACTGTAATATACATTCATTAAACTGAGAATATTTTAACTATTACTAAAATAAAATAAATAGTATTCACATATTTTATTGTCAGTGTCCATGGGCGGTATCACTTAACATCAGGCGAGCCTCCTGCCCGTTTGCCTCCTATTAATTAAGAATAAAAATAAAATTAAGTGATAAAAGGTTTCAGTAGGATCCGTTTATTTAATTATGTTATTCATCCACATCTAATTGGTATACATTTAACAAAAACAGATATAAATACAATTTTAACTATTCTAAGATGCAGCCCCTGTCCGGGAGAAGGACTCCTCCAACTTTTTGCACTAATAAAAAGTTAATAACAATAGAGATCATGAACTCTGGTTTCCATAGATTTTACACGTTGGGTAGATACTGACACGAATTTATCGTAATCCTCTATCAGAAATATTAGATTTTTACATTAATTTTAAGAGTAAATGATGCACGTGATCGACCTAAGGGTAAGATTAAGAACGAGACCGCGAACTGTGACTCAAAATTTAATAGATTTTGACATTTAGGTAAATGGTAATTTGCGCGTGGAAAGAAAAATCTATTGATATAGAACCGGGTCAGAAGACCACTAGACACTAATCAATTACGCTAACACTAAGAAGTTTATATAAACTTCAAACAAAGCTTATAATTTATGTTTGTAAATCTTTTACTGCTGGGAATTATGACCGACCTAACAAGTTTAGAATAAATTTCATTAACACATTTGAATGCACAACTTTTGTTAACCATGAAACAGTACGGTTAATATCAAAATACCTTATAAATAAGACAAAATAGGTGCAGTGTATTTGTGGAATCGGGAGTATCGGACGAGTCAAGTGAATTAGCGACATCTGTCGAGCGCGTTGTTTTATTTTAATTCTAACTAAATAAAATTATACATTTAGGCGTGTTCAATTTATTTTACTCGTACTCAACTTGCATTCATTTCTGATATATAAATCTCTAATTTAGACTATAAATATTAAGATAAATATATAATAGAGTATATCCTCCATATTGAATTAATTTTATTATTTTCTAGTATTACTACGTAATGCATATTTCAAAAAACTAATTAACTTAGTGTTCCGTCATTGCCAGGGTGAATGATTGAAGAGAATGATTTTTATCCACAATCCTACCCTTATTTTCTTGCGATGCAAGTGTTATCATTAGCAACCGTGCCTCCCTTCGTTAAACAGAAAGAAAAACGTCCTTCAAGTTCTGGCGTGTAAAAAATTATTAATAAATGTTATGTTATTAAAAGACATACGAAAATAAGCGGATTTTTTTGAAAATAAAACATCATACCTCTACAATAGCCGTATATCATCCGTCTACAATGACTCTGAGGAATGAAAAGTTCTGCAAATTTGACAGATTGAATAAATTGCATTGATATATCTATTAATAATCTAAGTGTAAAGGGAAACATGATGATTTAAGTTAAAGAGCTTTGGATAGTAATTAATCGAAGGGATCCTTACAACAGCAGCAGCCCGTAGTGCAGCCTGCAACCTTTCTATATGTTGAATAGCAGCTCGGAGTATTTCCAGCTTTGGAAGCCGACCACTGCCAGCCCTCGCGCGAATTCTTAACTCTTCGAAGGCTGCGTTGACCTGCAGAATATGTATTATTAAAAAGTCATTCACAGGTCGCGTAATATCATGAGATTGATAAATAGCGAAGGGAGACATTAGCCGCTAATTTGTATAGGAATTGAAACGGTCAAAGCGGTATAATAGTTTCTAGTAAAATATTTGATGAACGTCCCTTTAATATTTAAAGGACTTTTTGGGTCTAAGCCAAGTCGGTTTCCTCGCGATGTTTTCCTTCACCGTTCGAGAAAATGTTTAATGCGCACATAGAAAGCACGCAGCACAGTGCACAGACGGGGATCGAACCCACGACCTCAGGGATGAGAATAGCACGCCATAGACACTAGACCAACACTACTCTAACGCTAAAGAATCTCATACATTTACGAATTTCTATGAGTTTTGCATTAGTTGTTTTGGCGATACATCCATAAAATCAGTAATTACTGCATAGTCCGAATTGGTACAGGGCTGCGATAAATTTGTTTAAATTAAATTCCATAGAAAAATTTACATAGATATAGTTGTTTGTAGGATTATTTTCGTAAAAATCTCGAGGCATGCGTTCAAGGTATAAATGTAGGCTATTAGTTTCGCGTCATTTACTGAACAAACGATCTGAAAGACGCACATATTTCTAACACTGGCTTCATATTATTTAAAATTATAGATTTTTTAGTTTATTTTAAATTGCCTCATCCGAATCTGAATTAAAATATTATTTAAACATAATTTAAAAAAATAATAAACAGCTGAAATATAAGGGTCTTTTCTCCATTTTGATTTTGTTTCCTTTGGAGTAGAGACTCTTGGGCCGTGGTGTTCAAGTGCACAGGCGCTAATTAAAGATTTAAGCTGGCACCTGAAAGATAGTACCGGTGACCCCTGGTGCTTTCCTCGCTCAACGAATAAGTATCGCAATACAGCGAGGAAATGCTGCCAGCATTAAAGGTACACTGCCACAGAGTGCAAACTTTTTAAATTTGTTTTAATTTTCTATTTGTCAATTTTTAATTATTATTACGATGTAGGAAGAATCTTGTAGATACTGTTAATAATATTCTAATAAAAATAATATAGTTTTATAAAATATATTTTACTGGTCATACAGTTACTTTCTAACAATTAATACCGAGTTTACAAGTGACAATCACATATCCTCATATTAGAAAGTAATTTTTACTTTAATTAATATATTTTTTTCTCATATTTTGAACCAAGAATCCACCTATTCATAAAACCAATAAAGATGTCTCATTATACAGAAATAGATATACATGTTATTTTCACATAAAAATAAATTTATTAGTTCACTCAAAGAGAATTTTATTTTATGTTCGTGTATCGTTTTGTGAATGTCATTAAATATTATGATCGTTTCAAATAAATCTGTCAAATACGATTTAGATATTTTTATTACAGTTATATGAATGCTTATGAAGTTGTGAAAAGTTGAACTTATACTTGTTTGAATCTATTATTACACTTGATAGGATTTTTTGTATGTCTTGAGATTTATGTACATGATTTTTTGTTGACATATAAACATGATTAAATTCTCTCGACTGTTTGAAATTATGTTATTTCTAAGTTTACCCAAAAACTATAATTTAAACCTAATCTTTTTTTTATATTTTTTATTTCGTGTTTATAACTATATGTATATTTATATTATATGGGTTTTCAACATGTGTAAATTTTAATTGATACGGAAAAAAAACCATTTTTTGACGTTTTAATAATTCTAAACTAAATGTTTGGACGTTTTGCGTGTGCGACAGTTTTTCAGAAGTATTATTGAATTACCATGCACTCAACCAATATATTAAATTAATTGTGATATTATTTGACCTAGGAGTTGGTTATTAAATGGATGTTAATAAATATATATATAAAATTTCACGAAGATAGATGTTAGATTTCCCTAAGGAGTATCCATTAGTTATTTTGTTAATTTGGCGCACAATTTGTAGTCTATGGCCGCGCCAGGTTTGGCGCCTGTTTTGCCGCATTTCATTTGTTTTATTACGTTATCTAACTTTTATCTTTTGGTGTAATTCCCAATTTATAAATAACAACACTTATTATATAAAAAATACTTTTTCTTTCTAAAGGCAAATGAGAATCAAATTTAAAATTTTCGTGACTTAGCCTCAAAAATACTTACATTAGAAGTACATCAAGACGAGATTAAGACGAAAATAAAAAATGTATTTTTAAGTATTAAAAGCCGACATTAAGGGGAGTTATAAACGAGCATGTCACACGTAATAGCTTTTAAAACGTCCGTCAGAATTCCCTTGAGCATACGTCAACTGTAATTACTGCCGTGTGTTGAGATCTTAAGTTTCGGATTCTTAAGAAAAAATACTATCGCCTTCGGTAGGTTTATGGTTCATACTTCATACATATATACAATTATGTTAAAATTAATATGAAATACTGTTTACTATTACTATTCAATTATTAGACAATTTAGGTTATTGTTTTTTTGTCGTACAACTAAAATGAATTTTCATTTATTCCGTTTGATTTATCGTATTTATGGTAAAGATTTGTTCTTGACATAAAACCTTATATATTTCAGGAACTTTTCTTATTTGGTTAACAATGTTGCGTATGAGTAAAATTTCTTTCAAATAAGAAGTAGTAGTACCGAATCGACTTAGGCCTTCAAGAAAAGAGCGGACCAATTCTTAAAAGGCCGGCAACGCACTCAGGCATTGAGAGTGTCCATGGGCGGCTGTATCGCTTAGCATCAGATGAGCCTTCTGTCTGTTTGCCCGTTGTTCTATAAGAAACAATTGGCCTTGTTAATATATTTTGACATACATATATTTGTTGTGTAAAAGTTTATCATGAGTACAACGTATTATACACAGATTGCTGTGTAGTCGAATAACATAACACATAATAAATAACACATATAAAACACATAATAAATAAGAATAAAAAAAGATACACATTTACAACACACAAATCTGTGGCGATAAGTAGGTTATTAATATTGTTATATGTTTTATGATTGACGTAATACAATTTTTGATAGCAAATCTAGTTGCGCCTACTGAATGCTGTCTCCGACACTATCGACATCTTCATATGGTCGCAAAGTGAGTACACGTAGCGATATTGTGTATCTTAAATATTTAATGTGATATATTTTATTATATTTAATTTTTTTCGGTATTATGGTACTATGAAGATAGTGTATATATTTTTGTAAATAAATAATTAATAAATACTAAAGACCTATGCATCGTTCCAGCGCGAAAATTATTTCTTAAATCTGCTTAATTTTAATATTAAGCTAAGGAAAATAAGATATCAGATACCATTTAATCCCGCCCCATGTGACAAGGAAATTCAAAGATTTCCTTGTCTTATTGACAAGGAGTTAATCTGGTCTAAATATGTTTAAATAAATGCTGCTACATCACGTACGTTGGCTTAAACGATCAATCAGTTTAACTTATATTTGTTTGTTGTCAATTTGGTCTATTTATATAAATAAGGGAAATATAAAGAATTTATTATAAATCCTCTTGGACTAATTAAAGATTTAAGTCGGCGCCTTGATAGAAAGGGTGACCCCAAAGCTTCTGCTTTCTTCGCTCAACGTATACAGCGAGGAAATGCGGCATTAAAGGTACAACAAACTTTTTTAATTTGTTTTAATTTTCTATTTATCCATTTTTAACTATTATGATTACTACCTAGGTTAAGAATATTTTAAATACTGTATATTTTTTATATTATTATCATCAAAGACTTACACATATTAATATTTTTTGTTAATTCGCTGTAAAATTTCACCAAAAAAATTAACACAGTTGTTATGCATAACCCCTTATTTATATTGCTTATTGATTTACCTATTGTTAGTTTTGTTTTGCTTATAACCCTGACTTAACTAGTAAAATGTTAAAACATTGAGACCTATTTATTTATATTTGAAACGAAAAAAGGGAATTCAAAAATGAAAATGCTTTATAACAGCCAATTTATAGAGTTATAGTAAGAAATATAAATACAATTGAATTAATAATCCTTTCTCAAAAGTAGGCTATAATAAATTTTCTATAGAAAGCCAAGCACGCTTTTATTTTGATTGTTTGTTTGTCGTGCGTGTTCTAGTTTAAAAGTAAAAGATATGTATAAACTATTATGTGTGTACCTTACAAAGAACATTAAAACAGTAATATTTTATATTATCTAATTGGATTGTAATAATAAACTTTGATAATGATTCTGCCATATTTATTTATTTAAAATTTTCACACCCAAACACACAGACACTGATTTCAGTCATAAATCTAAATACTAAGTGCAAATGATCGCTTCTAAGCGATTTATTCCAGGAAATGCGTGGTCATATATATAAAAAGTTTAATGGACTTGAGAATATATACGTGCGTAATTTGTATGTACTTTTGACCACTTTTGTTAAAATCCTAATAAAAGAAAAAGAGATATACTTTAATTCATCTTGCACCATGATTATCTTTTAAAAGAAAAACTTCCGGAATTACGCTTCCTATACTCACTTTTCTTAACCGCCGCCTTTCTCGTAATGTAGCCGCTTTTCTTCTGTCAACCGCTGCAGTTTTCCTCTTACAGGCCTTGCAGGCCCAGGCCAAACAACGTCTACTTGGCCCCAAAACATGAACTTCTTCCCTCTCTTCAGTCTGTGTTTCACTTTTAACATCACAACAGTTTTTATTCAATTCAAAATCCGCGTATCCATAACTCATGTTTAAAAAATCACATTACACTTGAGGTAGAAATAGATGTATTCACAATTTAAAAAAAACTCAAATCTCGAATTATCTTAAAATATGTTACAAATAAGGTTTTTTAGAAACTTTGTGCAAAAAGGTTTCATACCGTACTCTATGGTAAGAAACTTTGACAGTGACGTTTCGCGCGCATTGCGCGAAGACACGCGTCGGACTGAAGTCGAGGGTTGATTTGGGATTAACAAAATATGTCCTCTAATAATAAACTGTGGCTGTGTGCGTCTAATGTCGTTGAGAGATGCCAATTTATTACTGTTTGGATTAAAATTGATGCTGACAATATTTTTTCTTTCAATTTGTGGAGCTGAAAGCGTGTTTATGCGTTCGTTTTTTGAAACGACATTTTGATGATCGAGTTGGCGGGAATATCTTTTTTTTTAAAGGGGTGTAGACATTCTTTGTAACTTTCGTTATTTGATTCAAATATATAAAAATAATTTTGTTTCTATATTGAGGAATAATTTATTTTATTCCAACTTTAAAAATCGTAGGCCCACAAAAAGTATACATACTATTGACTCAGGAAGTCATACACACATAATAGAATGAAAGGGTGTCAAAAAGTGAGTGCTTTTTACATGTGCCAGCTAATACTTTGTTTTTTCCTTAATCCTTAATCTAATAAGACACTCATGAATTATATCCAAGTATTTTACATATTTTCACTACAGATGAAGCAGGCCTAGTGTCTGACAGGACAGTCTTGAGGTCGTAGGTTCAAATCGCGGTTGTGCAGCAAAGGAATTTTCTTTTCATTTGTTCGTTGGTACAAGGAAAACTTTGCGAGGAGACCTTATCAGGCAAACATTGAAGGCTGATCACCTCCCCATGTCAATATAAAAAAAATCTAGGAACCAGACGAAATCCGTTCCTATATGAATCCAAGACCTCTCTGGTATTACTTTTCCTACACCACTGAGCAATAGCGGTTTAAGAACTAATAATAGGCGTTAGGCATACTATGTGCATTTAAATGGAAAAACGTTTTTGATGTGTCGATTCTACACGCGCATGCGCTTTGTTCTTGGCGAAAGGGGACAGCGGGATGCTGAGGAACTGCAAATGTATAGAGTCGTGTTTAAATAATATTTTTTAATTCTCTTGGATTGGGTATATCTTTTATATTCTCACTATTATTAGAAGACAATTACAAGTGCTTAGTGCCTGAATTGTAGTAAATGAAAATTGAGGTATAATATAATTAATTAATAAAAAATCATATGTAAATTTAGAAGAATATTTTTAAATATTGAATGTAGCTCTGTCATTTTTTATAATGATTACAGTTTTTATGCTCTCTACAATTTAATTCCTGTCCCAAAAATGCTTTCGCTAACAAAGTTTCACAAAAGCGAAACAATTCATACAAAATGCAGCGTCAAAGGCATATAATCGTTATGAATTTTTCACAAGCCAATTAAATTAAAAATATAACACTCCATAGGTTTCGCTGTTCCTCTGCACAACATCCCTCAGTGCGGGGTGTGCTCCAAGTCAGAACAAGGACTTTACCGTGAAATTACAATAAAATAATCAAAAAACAAATGCATTAATGTATTTAATGTCATTTTGGCTTAGTGCTCGGATTAAGTGAAGTGCAAAAAGCTGTAAGTACTAAAAATAGGCCTATTTAGAAAATAGGTATCTAGATTGAGGTTTTAGGCTCACCTTTTGTGCGATAGGAATACTTCTAGTGTGAAATAAGAGGACTCTTTGAGAGCAGAGAAAATTAAAACATCTTTTTAATATGAATCGTTTTATAACCTCAAACTTTTAGATGATATACAATTTATAGTTGAAATTGTTTACGTAAATGTCACTACTTACTAAGGTAATAGACAAATATAATGTTCAGAATCAACTCTTTAAAAAAACGGACACGAATGAAATTAAATTAAATTTGTACTTCATCATCGCGTAAATTAATACGCGTGAAGTGAATTTTGGTATTTTTATAAATAAATTTTTGATAAAAAAAATTTTGCAAACAAATAAGAAGTGGTCGGCAATAAAGTCTTCTTGACTGGTTTTTTAACATTTAATTAAATGAAGTACAAATGTACCTTGCCAACATCACATATAATAATAGTAAGCTAAAAGTAAGCTTCTGGGCATTTTTTCGATGGTTTTAATAACGTTTTTATATATATTATATTTAAAACCTAACCTTTACTCCCACTCTTCGGTTATAATTTTGTACCATTAATTACATGATAAAACAGTTAAGTAATTGGATCTTGCACTTAATGCATATAGTATAATTATGGACGATCTAAATGCGAAAACAGGCCAACCTAGGGCGGACGAGATACCTGGATATCCCTGGAGGAGGCCTTCACCTGCGGAAGGGTTCTTCCAAAGTAATTAGGAAATAGATACTTAGTATAGATAAAAAATAGTAAAACATTTTAATAAAATTTTTGTGCAAGAAATGAAAAGGCTTTTTTTATTATCGTGGTTATTTTTTGTATTTATGATCCTAATTCTATTCTTCTATTTTGTAGTAGAAAATACGATAAAACTTTGAATATGAAGATAAAAGTAATATTTATTTAAGTAATAAACAACAAAAATTCGTGTGATTTTTTGGTTTGAAAAACAAAATTACAAAAATGTTAAACAATTTTCGGACCATTACGACTTAGGGTCCTTCAAGAAAAGAGCGTAAAAGGTCATTTAAGGCCGGCAACTCACTTAAAATCAGGTGAGCCTCCTGTCCGTTCTGTAAAAAAAAACAAATGCAGTTGAAAATACACTTCATTTTTTTATATTTAAATAAAACATACAAGTCTTAATTGTGTAGGTTTAAAGATTTTAAAAAGTTGTATATTTTATAACATATAATAACTAAAATTATATACATAATTGGTCCCTTTTTATTTATTTATTAATGAATTAATTGATTAGTTAACATTTTTTAATATAAGTATTAGTGGTAAAAAATTAAGTTAGTTTTGATTAGCGGTCTAGTATTGTATGTTTTTAGGGTAAAAGCCTCCTCCATATTTTTCCATCTCTTCCCTTTTTTTCTCAGATTTTCTCAATACATGATGTTAATTATTACGTGGAGTGCCTTTTTTATTTTTATTACTGTCCTGTTCTTCGTTTGTAATATGTAATGGAGGGTGGTGGTAGCTTTCCCCACGGGGACCAGCCGGATTGGGTCCCTTTTAAGGTTATACAAATACCCAGCTCCTTCGTACCTGTTATGGTAATAAATACGTGTATCGTGTGAATTGTAGGCTATGGGTGCGTTTGTGCGTGTTAATGAGTAATGTAAAATACATTCACATAATAGATTTCATAGTAGGTATAATAATTGTATCGGATTTAATATTTTTCGTATAATCAGAATTGAGATAAATAAAGCTTTGTTCCATAAAGATAAGAGCATACCAATTCTAAAAAGGTCGCATTGTGAGTCGGCGATGGCATTTAACATTTAGTCTCCTGCCTATTTATTCTATTAAATCATAATTCTAAAAACAAATATTTTATATTTTTACCAGATATAAAATCAAACTTTAATTGCTTAAATTAACCAATATTTCCGTAAAACTCATAACGAAGGGTTTATGACGTTTATATAAAATTAAAAACATATAAGTTAGGTGCCTTTAGGTGGAACAAAAAGGTAAAACAGCTTATTAACTTTCGCCTTAGGCTAAATTGGCCTCCGTTACCGGTAAAGGCAGTGCCCATGTTTTACTTATAGTCCCGTAATTATGGGTCAGGCGGCCGCGACTTCTACACTACTATCATCTTTGATATGCAAGTATGAGTTAAATTTTGGGACTGATCTCTTTACAGTTTTACAACTTTTTAATTGCACAAATCCTGAAATTACGTGTAGTGTAACGAGATTAGCACCACTACATACCAAGCTATAACTGATCAGTTCCAAGCACGTTGTTTCTATTCTTTGTATAATCATTATAATAGAAGAAAAAAAAACATTTATTCATAGAGGTATCACATTCTACGATTATGGAAATAATTTAATTTCCTGCCAGTTTTCACATGAATGGTGTATATTTATTTTTATTTATTGATTATCATTATACATTACATATAAAGACAAGTAACATACATTATTAGGGATGCAACAGCCTTTACGCTAATAAGCAATCTCTTAGAGGCAACCATCTTACAGGCAAAAATAGTAAGGAAAACAAAAATACTAAGGGTAAATTAAATAACCAAATGAACAAAAATAAAATTACAAGTAACACTGAAAAACTTAATCTAACATAAAATATATAATTGAAGCTAGTATTATATAATATATAGCATTTTCCTTACATCTGGTATAGTTACGGGGAATACCATTACGCAAACATCATTAACGTTCGTGCTTTCGCTTTTAGTAGATCCAAATCCACTCACAGAATACTATTCAAGTTATTCATACAAAAATCTCTTATAAATATTGTATTATATTAATAACTCGATTATATATCGACGGCTGTAAATAACAAACGGCTATCTGCAATATCACTAGTTTCCGAGAGCGTTTAAACACGATAATACTTCCTAATTCTGAATCAGTTACCATATAATACGAGTGTGTATATAGAAACGGCATTATATCTGGATCCGTAACCCTTCTAAAAGCGGAGTAACAAAAATTATTTTTGCGCTCGGTCGAAATCTAGTGACCTACTTGAAATACGCAAAGTCCTTGGGCAATAGTATATCGGTTAGGAAAAGGACATTATTACCTATATCAAGGAATACAGGTTATGTATGCAGGGTGCTGAGCTGACCTGGTTTCAGTGACATTTCGCTGTGACCCAGATCTAGAAGGCTAGGCTAATATGATCTACCAGGACCCACTTGACTTATAGACTTATTATATCTCAACTTGGAACTGCAGTTGGATTTTAATTTTCTTTTTAATTTTGCAATCTCCTTAACTTGAATTACTTAATGTTGTAAAGAATCCATAGAGGCTACATTAAAAAGTCTATGCAATGATATATACGTAGGTTTGTTAACAACGGGTTGGGTGGTTCAATTGGTGTCGTTATTACTTACAACAATGATAATAAAATCATAATATGTTACATTAGAAAACCGCTGTGGTTTGTATAAATGTAACCATAGCAGTCTTGTTTTGGAACGCGACAAACGCATATAAAAGTAGCTTTTCAACTTACTTTTTATGTTGGTTAACTAATATGTGACTGTCCATTCTAGACTAGTCCATTTATTAGCAAATACCTCAACGTTCTCTCGCCATAGACGTTGTTTGCTCTCGTACAGACTTACTTACTTACAGACGTACTTGCGGTACCGCTCAGGTCTAAACGTCACATTTCTTGTGAACTATGATCTCCGTCCTCCATGGCTTGCTAGCTAGTGGGTTGGATCACCGGTAATTGTGTAATAGTGTTGAATTTTTTGCTCGTCAATAAATAATAACAATCACCTAGACACAGAAATGTACACCCCAAGCTTATGTTCATGGGTGTTCCAAGAATCTCGTATGATTATTGTTTATATAAATTGTGTGTTCATAGGTTATGCGGAACAAAGAGTGTGCAATGCACCCGGGTAACAGGTGACGTTGCCGGCTCCACCCGCGGAATATGTCATGGGACTCGCTCGAGTCACGCGACTTCCTCGGGTAAGTGGTTTTTCATTTATATATGTCGCAGCCACTAGCTTAATTAGCCGTTCAATTAACAGCCTAGCCGTTTAACTAAATGGCGCCGTTTAACAAGCGGCCTGAAAGATGTTCAGCTAGTTGATCAAACAGCTAGCAAAATGACTCGATTAGATGACTAGCCTGTTGACTGTTAATTTTAATTAAATTCCACTTTCTGCCACTCTCGAAACTCTTCAAACTGTCAATATGGCGTCGGCAAACCACAACTTTGACGGTGTTTTAAATTTTTCATGAAAAACAACAAGTACAATGGAAGAGTGTAGTGACAATAATAATTTGAATTTGACTCAAGAAATTTAATTTCAAAAGAAATCTTTTATGTCATATGTTTCATCTTTTTTATTTCTGCCAAATAATGACTCTATCGTACGAATGGCCCAAGTATTAGCCAGCCAGTTTAAATGTTGTAACAAACGCTACAACTGAATATCTATCAGGCCGCTAGTTAAACGGCGCCTTTTAGTTAAAAGGCTAGGCTGTTAATTTAACGGCTAATTAAGCTACTAGGCTGCGACATATACATCAAGTTAAAAGCAGAAAGAAAAAACATTATTATACCTAATAAAAAAGGATATTTTGTTGAAAACAAAATATAGTGCTCTAGCATGATGCTCACACATTCCCTGTGTCGTGGGCAGCTAGTCTCTTCCATTTGACATGTTAACAGTACTCGATGTAATAATTTCTACATTTTATAATTTAACTATTGTTGCAACTTATAAGTAATCTTATGATTACTTTCCGTTTCCGCATTGGACAGGTTAAGATTGTTAGTGAATGTATAAAGTTTTGATAATTGGTGAAATTTTTGAGTATAGTTGTCTAACCGTTGAAAGTTTTATTTCGTTGTACAATTTTGAAGTTGAGAAGGAGGCAATTTGGTATTTTAGTGTGTACTAAGCGGGAATGGAACAATAGGCGCTCGTTATAAGCTCGGGTTATTTCCTAATCTCTACAATTTGTCGTTGACTGCCGTAGAATATTAGAGATATTTGGTATTAACTGTGGTACCACACTGAGAGCTGGACGTAGTACAAATGTATTGCTTAAATCGAGTATTTTACCTACAATTATGCAGAGAATGAATAATAAAAATATTAGTTATGATACCCGACAGCGTCTTGCATATGAAATTAATTCGTTTACTTCATTATTAGAGAACTTAAACTCTGAATTAATAGTTTTTGTTGCCTACCCTTTTAATAATGATATAGATAAAAAATATAGCAGAAGCGTGAGCGAGTATTGGGAGAAATAAATGTTTTACTCTGACCCCAGAACTTCGTGAACGCTACTATTTATAGTTCGTTTTAACGAAGGATACAAATTAAATAACCTTCTATGTATTTCAGCAGGGCGCCTGCGCACCAGCTGTCTGCTTCGCGGTTGATTAGCTCGCCTGACCCGTCGCGACACCGCCACGATGAACCACCAGGTCAGCTTTTTATTCTTACTATTTTAGTTATACATATAGGTACATTTTGTTTTAGTCAGACAACAACTCTATGACGTTATGGGTCATAGAGTTGTTTTTAAAGACAGTTAAAATTAAATATATACTCACTATTTATACTAATCACTGATAAATCCGGGATTAAATTTAGTAGATTGTATTTTTTGAATATCACATTGTGTAACCATAAAAATAATATAACGAAAGAAGCTCAACGAATAAGTATCGCAATACAGCGAGCAAATGATGCGAGCGTTAAAGGTACACTGCCACAGGGAGCAAACTTTTTAAATTTGTTTTTATTTCTATTTATATTTCTTTAATTATTATTATTACTATGTATGTCAACAATATTGTAAATACTGTATATTTCTGTGTTGGAAAATCGATTCCTATAAAAAAATTTAATTAGAAATAAAATGAATAAGACAGGCTAACACGCGGCACTTAAAAAACTTCCACGATTCACAAAAATTTTAAACCCGCAAAAGCTATCGGGTCGTCGCTTGACGCTTTTAAGTTTGAAGTAACAACAAGAAACTTCTCCATCATTGTGATATTGTTGGCCGAAGTGTGAGATGAAAAATTTCGTAAAGACAAATACTATTTATACAAAAAAATTAAAGTTACCTAAAAACGTGCACACTTATACATCCCACATTTCATTACCACAGATACTAAAAGCAAATTATTAGTGCGTTGTCTTTGTAAGTACATAATGTTGGTCGTATATATATTATATGTGATCCCATTTGGCTATATTTTTAATGTTTTTTTTTATATTGTTTCATAAAACTGTGAATTATAAATATATGTTAAATATATAAATATTTTGTATATTACATCCGGTATCAACACAATGTATGTTTTTTAATACATTTAGCAGAACTATACTCGTTCTCCGAGGAATTCCCTACAGAGGTGCGCAATGGGCGATGGGGGGCGCGGTTCGGGCCAGCACATCGGCCTTCTATGGGATGGTGTGAATGCTTCCGGATCGTAAGATCTAGAATCGACCAATATCTGGCCAGGCGGAAGGTAAATAATCTATCTAAATAATCTATCTAAATAATCTATAAATAATAAGGAGTTATAAATAGTTCGTATTCGAATATACTTGTAATTTAAAGAAATACGATGTTCACACATGGACAGTATAAAAGTTGTTCCGTTCTTCAAAAGTTTAGCTATCTTAAATATTTGCCTTATGTTTAAAACACAACATTGAGAATATAATTATAATAATCTAGGTAAGTGTAAATTAAAAAGCATCAAGTCATTCTATACAAAATGATAAGTCCGTTATTCCATCTCTACAGTAAATTTACAAGTTATCTGTGGCAGCGCAGTGACGTCTGGACTTTGGCGCCAATTTATGGTTTGCGAAATTTAAATGTATTTTGGCCTAAACTTTATAATTATTTAGAATGAACTTAACTTTAACTATAGTTTTGCTTAAATTATGATTGTTATGTTAACCAACAAATTATATAAGACCAAAAAACTATGTTTTCAGATAGAGCGCGGGGTAAGACTATACGGTCAGAATGAACAGCGACAAGCGGTTAAAATCTGGCTGTCTGCGTTACGAGGCGTTAGACACCGGAGCGATAAATTTGCATTGCTTGGACATCTATATCAGGCTTTTATGGATTTTGGAAAGTATAGGTATGATGTCTTTAAAATAAAACCTGAATTGCAAATATTAATGTGTTTTCATTTAACAACATTTTCACAATATGCATTAATGAAACTTTTCTTGCTTCATTAAAGACATACATATTTGCGTGGATAATTTTTATGGATCTTAGTAATACTAGATAATTATGTTTAATTTAACATTTTTGACGCCTTTGATGATTAATTCAGACTAAAAATTAACATAAATGTTAGGATATGACATATCGACAGCTTTCCTTAATAATCAACTTTATATTTTTTTTAAACTAAACCTAAAGCTTCCGCAACGCAGTGTCATGGATGCAGGGCATCCGGCAAAAATCACCTAGTCTCCAATTGTTGCTAATTAAAATAGGCTGTAGCGTAGAATATGTAAACAGCGCTGCCGCGACAAAGCAGCCCAGACAGCATTCCAAAGAAGTTTTTACAGAACTCGCATCAAGCGTGTACGTGATCCACAGAATTTCGGCAGAATAAATAATAAAGTTTTTCTATTCTCTCTCTCTTCAGACGGTAGCTCATGTCTGTGCGTTGTGGTCAGCAAGGAAATATCTGGAGCGGTCTATGTGTTTCCACCGGTTTCTGTCCAGCGCCTCTCTTATTACAGTGTACAGTTTTGAGGCCGATGGGTCTTGTACTTAATTGGTCCGTCTAATTGGTGAACGGCCACGTTCACATCGCTTCTGCGCATTATATGGCCGAAATATGGTCGACAGTTCGTATGCGGAGTTGGGTCAAGATAGATGTATTGGTGTTCTTGGCAGTCCACGATATTCTTAACATTCGCCTCCAGCACCACATCTCAAAGGCATCTATTACTTAAAACTTATTGGCAATAACGATAACTCTACATAAGTAAATCTTTCAGGGAATCTCTGGAGTTTGCAAACCGTCAACTGGGCATATCAGAAGAGCTGGATTCAGCTCCTATGAGGGCTGAAGCCTATCTCAACCTGGCCAGGTCTCAACAGACACTTGGCGGATTAGACAGGCAAGTCCACTACATTCTTTGTTAAAATGGAATTATGATGAAAAATTACATATTTATTATTTGGTATTTATTTCGTACAATTTCAAGATAGGCAAATGTTTTAAATTGATTTACAAAACAAATTTCTATTTTTTAGAGCACTCTCCTACGCTCGTCATGCACTATACAATGACTGTGGGGGAGGCTCGACCGCCGGCTGTGTACATCTCACAGTCGCCAGCGTCAGTTTGGAGCTCGGAGCATTCTCGAAGGCGATGGACAGCTTCCAAAAGGCATTGGCTGTTGCACAAGCACAAAACGATAATACCCTGCTACTTCAAGTAAGATTTTTAAGCGATAATTACCGAAACAGGTTGTATTCAAATATACCAAAATTTCTATGAGTAGTTCTCTCTCTCTGGGTCGGTAACAAATATCTGACAATCGTGGTCAGCTGTAGAGTCTCTATCTATTTATTATTGATTGATTTCTCTAATCTTTAACTATAACACATCCGTCATAATATGTTAAAAGTTTGTAGAAAATCTATTAAGCGTATATCTGAGTCGAATTAGTGCTATCTAACCTTTTCTGTGAATAGGTCCCAAACCATGTTTTTTCTACCAATTCCAGGTATATGTAGGTCTCTCAGAACTTTGGCGTCGTCTTCGCGATACAGAAAGAGCTGTTGCCTGTGCGGCGCGCGCGTGTGACCTCGGCCGCGGTCCTCGCGCGGCTGATCTCAACACTCGACACCACAGACTTGCGTTATTGCAAATGGCGGCTGCGCTAAGGGCAAGAGGAGAGTTGGGGGACGCGTACGATTATTGTAATGTTAGTTTTATTTTTTAGACTGAAAAATTGGTTTTGAATTATTAGTCGTATTGTTTTTCGAAATATCTTATCTGAGTCTGTCTTCTCTTCATTAATACTTTATAATTATTAACTATATAAGGCATAATATATGTTGGCTGATGTCCATGTGATAAGTTTTTTTTATTTGGACCACAAAATTAGGACAAACACATGATATAAATTAACATAAATACAAAAATATAATAAGCGGTGCCGTCCCTATAACATGTGGACACGCCAAACAACCATAAAATTAAAAATACAAACTATAAAAGAATTAAACTATTTGAGCCAAGAAAATAAATTATCGGTACTGTGTCCTAATTCTACTCTTAGCTTAGGCTAGAGAACCATGAAAAATGTCAAACTCTATGCAATATCATTATGGTAGCGACATAACCTATTAATTGGAGAGTTTCTGCCAACGTTTGTTCGGCAATGTGGGATGTGAAAACATCTTCGATTGTATAAACGACTGTGAGTTATAGGTGTATTATGTTGTCTTTATTCCTTGTATTTCCTGGAAATCCTGGGAAAGAACAAATAGGAAGAGGATTCATTTCCACTATTAAAGTTTTGAATCTGCAAGTTTTTTTTGATATATTCTTCTGCTCGTTGCGTAAGTATTAATGGATAAAAGCAAATTTCTAAACAATTCCAGGAAGCCCTGCGTCTCTCAACCGTGGCAGGAGATCAAGGCAGTTTCGCACGAGCTGTGAGAATAGCGGGGGACGTATACAGACGAAAATGTGACTTTAACAAGGCTTTGAGGTAAGAATTTATATATGTGTAAAGTAAACGTTTTATCTCAGTCATTAAACATCGGAAAGTTGCGTACCTGGGCCGCGTGTTGCGCCATCACCGCTACCACCTCCTTCAATTAATTATAATGGGTAAACGCCGTATTGGTAGATGGATGAAATCATGGCTTTGCAACGTTAGATTGTAACTTTTTCAGACATTACGAAGTAGCAATGGGAGCGGGGCAGTCTTTGGGGGACCGTTTGGCCCAGATGGAGGCAATGGACGGTGCGGCAAGATGTCTTGAGGCGCTTCGGGTCCAAGGACGAATATGCAATTGCCGCCCTCTGGAATTTAACACGCGGCTGCTGGAGGTTGCTACTTCTGTTGGATCTAAGGTATATGTTTCAAATAATATAAATATATAACAAACAATAGGAATTTGCAGTACTGTAACAGGATTGAACTCAGTAGGTAGTCATTGGCTGTAATACAAAATTATTCATGATACAGATGTCATATTTATTTATTTATTTATTTATTTATTCCATATCATTATTCTATCTTTACAGTAATTACTAATTCGATAGAACGACACAATATTTATACCCACACCAATTAACCTAGATAAAAAACATTTAAAAAAATATATTTATATACCTAAATCTTATAACTAATAATATAAGAAGCAACTATTGTGAACTCAGCCAGTGTACAAACAAATAGGTCTACCTTAACAGAAATCCTATTTATTATAAGTATTGCTCGCGTGAGTGGTGCTTCGCTAACCAAGTTGGAATGTGCGCGCGGTACATCCAAAAGTTGAGGTTTCTACTTGGTACCCGTAGACTCAGTCTCTCCATTATATCCAGATTATGAACCCGACCCGTAAGTATCTTAAATATATACACTGACAAGGCTAGCTCTCTTCTGAGGCGTAGCTGGTCATAGCCCACCATACCCAGAACAAACAGGGTCGGGTACATAAGCGGATACAAAGGATACACTCCATACAGTCTCTTGTAGAGGTAACGGGTGAATTTATTTTGTATTCGCTCTAACATGAGACTGTATTTAGCCTCATATGGGGCCCACACCATTGCATTGCACTCCAAGTGACTTGTGAGTAACGCATTGTATAAAATTTTAATCGCACTGATCGATCGTTCGATCTTCCATAAAGCTAGCCATGAAGTTCAATAAGTGTGGAGTGAATCCTACCTGTGCAAACTTCTGCAAAAGCACGTCGTTATCGACCAAATCAAACGCTTTTTAAATATCGAAATAGGCAGCGTCCATCTGCTTTCCACTGTCCACTACCGGGCTAATATTAGCCATATAATTTAAGAGGTTGCTAGTGGTACTCCTCGTAGACCGAAACCCGTGTTGAGCTTCTGAGAGTTGGGAATTCACTTGATTAAGTATTCACTTTTGAAGTGCCATTTCCAACACCTTCGCCGGACTTGACAATATAGCTATCGGCCTATGCTGTTCTACTTTATCGCGGCATCCTACTTTAGGAATTGGAATTACCCGACTGCTTTTCCAACATGTGGGAAATGTTGCTGCTTTCAGACACAGGTTGTATATGTGTAGCAGTGGTTTAGTAAGTAAAACGCCACAATCTCTCAAGATATAAGGCGGTATACCGTCCGGGCCTGCTGCCTTTTTTGGCTTAAGTCGCTTAAGTGCCTCCTGTATATCGCTGAACTGTAAGCTCCCAACGTGGACTCTTGCAGTCCCGTTTGAACAACCCGCTCCGGCAACAGCTGCGCTGACGTCAAGCTTTGGCTTTTGCGTAACATAAACAGAGCTAAAATACTCGGCAAATGCTTTAACACTCCTATCCGGCGGTAGTACCTCTCCGTTCTCAATAATACCCGATGGTTCTCTATTGACTCTGTTACTATTAATAAATCTCCAGAATGACTTGGGATCTTCAATCACTTTTGATTCAACAGCCTTAGTATAATTTTCAAGAGCCAATGCAATTAATTTCTTGACTTCAGCTCTGCAACAGCTAAACTCTTTGTAATCTCCTGGGGATTTAGTGACCTTGTATCTCTTATGCAGCGTGGCTTTTTGTTTAATTTTTGTATAATTGAGGTACTTCATTTCTACAAATGATTTATTTTTTACACCGCACATGTTGTATCCCTATATATGGACTTTTGCTTACGAGTAACACTCTCAATTCCATAACACTCCGTCTACGATAGAGCGATCATCCTTAGAGAAATCTTAACAGCATTTTTTCGATCTCATCCGGGAATCCAACGCGGTTCTGTACCTTAATTGTTTCCTTTTTTACCGCGAAATCGTAATCAAATTTAATTGTGCAAGTAATTTTTGAATGATCAAGAATATATTACAAGGCACAACGTTTTCCTGCCCGTTCATATTAGCAACTGTCGACAGAAAATCTTCTCAGTGAACAAGTGTGCAACACTGCGTGCACAAAAGTTACCTCTATTGCCGGTGGAGACAGAAGCCAAACACGATGTTCTGCTATTGTTTACACAGAATGTTTGTAATCAAATGTGCCGCACGCTATTTTGGAATACCTTTAAGGTCCCAAAGTCACGCGAGGATATTTAAAGAACTAAATTAAAATTGCATATGAAAATGGCATCGCTGAAGATATCGCAAATAGAAGTTACAGACAACCTTAAGCACGTACAGTAGGAGGTACCTTCTGGTAGCCGAGTGACAGTCAAATCTTTACAATAGGTACATGTCTCGCCAAATGAAGTAGCCATGTCTAATAGACCACGGTATAAAATATTTAGCTGGAATTTCGCTTCTTCCTCCAATAAATTTTCATATTCCAGATGCTGGTCCGCCGCGTGCGTCTACGTTTAGCTGAGATCTACACAGCGTTGGGAGATAACAACGCAGCCGCAAGACAACGCAAAGCGGCCGGCGCGTGGGCTGCACCTGCGTGTGCTAAATGCCGGGAACCACTCGCTGATAGACCAGAACCGTTGGCTTCTTTACCTTGCGCGCACATCGTTCATCACGCGTGAGTATTCCCAGTGGAGACTTTTTTTATAGGACAAATGTGTCTACGGGATCCCCAAAAATAGCAGTCATCGCATACCATAGACACTCATTGTAGTCGCGTTGTCAGGCTTTGAGGAAGGAGTATGCTGTTTGTTTCACAATTGGGGACGTATCTCCCACGGATGACCGGGCGTGGATTCCACAGTTCACTAGTTCGCAAAAGAAAATTTCTTGTGAAGTGGACCATGAAATACTTCTAGCCATCAAGGTGATGCCGATGAAATTTTTAGTATAGCTCGTACGGTGGTGAAATGAGGCAGGAGGGATCAATCAAAATGACTCTTCCAAACACTCAAAAACAAATTTTTTGCCAGGGCTTTACAAGACTGAATAAATTTGAGTTTACCGCGTTAATTGAGAAAAACATTTCTAGAAACATCTCTTTCAGTGATGTTTTTTTTGTTTTTTTTAAATAATACCTTTTCTACTCCCCTGCCATTTTGTCCAGGGACTTTTTCTATATCTAAGCTTCACATCACACGTCTCGCGAAATACGCCCCGGCTACATCTGTAATATTTTTGTTTACAATATTCATGGGCGAGCCGGGACGAAATTCCTCGCGAGACCCGTCCTTGGAGTTTTGTTTGCCGCCTTAATATATTTATCAATTTTATCGCAGAACCGTTCCAGACACGATCTGTGCTTTATTAACATGTCCTGTAGGCCGTTACGGTCTACAGTCATCTGCATTTGTTGCTCCAGGTCGTGTCTGGACGATGCGAATATAGGGCAATGTAGGAGCACATGTTCAACTGTTTGATCTTCATTACTACAGGCACATGTTGGGCTTGTCCTAATTTTAAACCTATGAAGGTAATGTGCAAAGGCTCCGTGCCCTGTAAGAATTTGCGCCATCTGGGGTGTGAAACGCTTCTCTTTTATTAATTTGTACGCAGTTCTAACATTTGCGATGAATAATTTTGTAGTTCCAGCTGTTTCACCCCCCAGGTAGCGTTCATTCCATACATCTAGAGTCTTTTGCCTTATCTGATGTTTTACATATGACAGGGGGTATGCGGCGTATTCAGGTTTTGACCTTAGTCTTTCCGCCGCTTCTTTTGCTAACGTGTCCGCCTTCTTCAGTGATGATTATATGAATCAATTATATTTTATTCGTGTTTCAGGTGTATGCCTGAGTCGTGGTCCCGCCGCTCAGTCCGCAGTGCGGGTGGGGAATGCGCCGAATGTGCCTCCCCCCGCGCACCACGTGACCCACCCCCTGCACCACCCGCGCCGCGGAACCTACCCGCACAGGTGAGTTAATCTAAAAATCTGAGCAAATGATTTACGTCGTGAAGCAAAAAAATAATTTAGAACAAGTAATATTAATTACATATTTTTATTTAACTTAAAGCTTATGAGTTCGACCTGTATGTATTCGTCCAAATATGTGTGCTAATTTCCGTTAGTGTATGTCTGTTTGTTCACAAATTTCTCGGTAACTAAACGTAATATCAAGGTGGTTACGATTTAACAAGTGGAAAAAATTTAATTTTTTTTTCTACACCAGGACTTTCCATTCGGATCTCCTCCGCCAATGAGAGAGCCAGACTTAAACTCGGTGCGTTCCGACCAAAGCAGCCAGGAGGAAAGTGTATAAAATACATCTTTAACGTTTTACAAAGTCCGTTAAATAAGCTCAAAAATTATTGTAACCTCTTGGAGACTACTTTATGTGTGTACTTTTTTTTTAAATTTAATTGTCGTAGTATATTACGAATAGCAATAATATTTATTGTGCCAAGCATGAGTATCGCCTTACATCGGTAACGTCGCTGGAGATGACAACTTGAGCAGGGCTGTGGCCGTATTTAAGTAACGATGTACGAACACGTTTATATATATTTATAGTAGCGGACCCGACAGACGTTGTCCTGCATACTATTAAACAAAGTATGAAATGAAAGACAAATAATATTTTTTTATTTAGTTTGCATAGTTTCCATTCCAGCCATTCAGGGCGTCACCCAAACGCATACAAAAAAATTCATTCAAATCGGTCCAGCCGTTTAAGAGGAGTTCAGTGACATACACACGTATAGTAGAATTATACATATAATATATATAATATATATAGAGATTATGCGTATAATAATATTGCGATATATCTGTTGCAAAGCTCTTTTTGATTTGATTTTTAATGTAGAAATAATATATTTTAAAATTTGTCGTTAATTTGATATATACTCATTCTTGGTATAATACCTACTGTATAATATTTAAATATTATTTACCTGTAAATTATAAATTTTATAAAATTTGTTCGAATATTAAGAATATATTTTTATCATTGTGCGAGAGATATATTTGCAAAATCGATATTATTAAAAAGTTTTAAATATTAAATATTGTATATGTGTAATTGGTGTACTTAATTAAGTGGGTTTGTCAAAAATATTAAAGTTAAAAATGGCTGAGCGTGAAACGCTAACGTTTTCATATCGTTAATATGTCGTTGTCAAAGTATTTTCAATTTATTGATGTCATTCAAGAATTATATTTTTTTCTTATTACCATATGACAATTAAACAAAATGTATATTTTAAAGGCTTTTCCAGATTGCCCGCAATATTTTTTTTTATATATATCTATCTACACTCGGCGTCAAAAAAATCGCACCTTTCTTAAAATTCGTGTCAAGCAATTATAACTTCTAAGATCCTTCTTTGCACTTTGACTAAAAAGTGGCAATGTACGCGTTTGGAGGCTCACTAATTGTACCACCCTGGACGCGTATAAAACGAGGGGGTAAAAGTCAATTATGGGTTATTCGCTATCCAGACGTCACAGAGGTCACACCTGAAGAGCTTCGACAAGAAAAAACCCAGTAAAAATGAATACCATGGCAAAGAAGCAGCTCAAGTGGTGGCCCTACTGCAAATCTGACTACGGCAGGTTGAAGTTGCTCGGCAACTAAAAATCAGCCGATTTCGAGTGCAACGGGTATACCAACGGTTCCAAGAGACTGAAGGTTACATCAGGAGACATGGATCTGGGAGACGTCGCTGCACTACCGTCAGAGGTGATCGCTCCATTGTGTCGACGTCTTTGCGGAACCGCTTCTCCAACGCTGTGGAGCTGCAGCAGCGGTTTTGAGCTACTCGAAGGACAGCTGACAGCGTCTCCACTATCAGAAGAAGGCTGTGAGAGAAGAATTTGCTGCCCCGGAGAGCTGCTACAGGCCCCCAATTGACTGCCATCCACCGGACGAAAAGGAAGCGATTCTACGAAACGCACGTGCCGTGGACATTCGACCAGTGGAGGAATGTCTTGTTCTCCGACGAAACCCGAGTGTGCCTGTACACCAACAACATGCGTAAGAGAGTCTACGGGCGACCAGGGGAGCGTTTCACACCAGCCTGCACCGTGGAAACCGTCGGGTATGGAGGAGGATCCTGCATGTTCTAGGGCGGCATTTCTATCGACGGCAAGACAGACCTCGTGTGCGTCTCCAGAGCTGGAGATGGTCGCGGCTAGGGGTCTCTGACTGCCCACCGGTATATCACCGAGGTTTTGGAGGAGCATGTGGTCCCATGTGCAGGTTTTGTCGGCGCCAACTTCGAGTTCATGCACGACTACGCCCGGTGCCACACAGCCTTGATTGTCAAGGACTACCTACGTCAAGTTGGCATCAAGGTTATGGACTGACCAGCAAGAAGCCCCGACCTCAATCCTATCGAGCTCCTCTGGGACGAGCTGAAACGGCGAGTTCGGGCCCGTAATCAGCTCCTGCCACTCTCGATGAGCTTCGGGATGCCGTCATCGAGGAGTGGGATAACATTCCCCAGGAACACGTCGTGATGGTCATCAGGTCCATGACTGACCGCTTGGAAGCTGGTCGGAGAGCTAGAGGAGGCAAAACTAGGGTTTAAGACAAATTTTTAAGGATTGTCATTGTTTATTTTTAATATTTGTATTGTTCCTTTTATTTGTAATTTTAATCAGAATACACATTGTTTTACATTTTCCCAGATTTTTTTTTATTGGGGTGGTGGCTAATTTCCTACCGTTTTCAAATAAGGGATTTCATTAGCTTTCAAATGATACTAATAATGATAGGGTACAGGATGGATTTTCGAGTTATAATCGCTTGACACGAATTTTAAGAAAGGTGCGATTTTTTGACGCCGAGTGTATTTGAAGTTAATTTGTAAGTTTTAAAATCTAAGGGCCACATTTACTGCCATACACATTTAGTCAAATAGAAATAAAATGCACTAGTTTGGAAATAGCACTAAAAAGACCAACACAATATTAATAATAGGTGCCCTGAACATTTAATGTAAACAAAAAATAATAAGAATTAATGAGATACCCAAAAGATTTTTTTCAGATTAAATAGGATTCATCACTTTTTTTATTTTGTTTGGGGCACTAATAATAACTATTAGCCAAGCAGTACATATACAATATCGAAAAACAATTTCACGTACGTTCAAATTCGCACAGATTAATGCAAAAATACAATTAAAGTAAGGGACAGGTATCAAATTTAAATTATTCCTTCAAAACCAAATACATACATTGATTAAAAAAATGATATTTTGTTATTTATATATACTATAAACATATAAAAAGTATAGCGTAATTACACGTTAATGGCAGCTGTTTTAATATTATAATAAAATAATAATATTTTAAACATTGATAAATATTAGATACTTAACATAGACAATCGCAGTAAATTATGCATAGTGAATACACATAGTTCAATTTGGGTTATTTTATAAATAAATCAGAAATCAGAGAAAAAATACATAATTATTTTTCATTGATTGAATTTTATGTTACAAAATTAATATAACAACTATGTAAATATATTTCCTGTAATAATAATCAGAAAAAAGTTAAATCAAAATATAAATAATATTTAAGGTATAGGTAGAAAATACATAATTTTATTCTTATATAAATATAACTATTGTTGCTGTGCCAAAAAGATTTATTTAAATTCACTAAAATTCTATTTACACTCAAATCTATCTATATAGATGTATCTTTATGTATAATTTATAAATGCTATATTCACAGTGAAAAAGAAAACTGTAACCGTTGTTTAGAATCGTAGATTTATTTCGTATTTTTTTTAAAATTTTTTTTTTTTTTTTATTTTATATATATATTTATTTTATATATATATATATATATATATATATATAGTTACTAAGCATAGATACTACCAGCAAAATGTCGTATATAGTATGCGGACCTATCTGATCACACAGAAATTTGTCATATTCTCTCTGTATTGGTATGTTTGTATATAATGTTACAGCTGGATTACACTAACTTTATAACAAACTAACAAACAGATCGTATAGAAATGTTCCTAATATATGCTAAAAGTGAATATAGCATTTTCAATATATTGGTATACCTCTTGCAAGTTCAAATTGTAATCATACATTTCATATTATATTGTATAAACAAAATTTAAGAATTAAGAATTAATACCAAAGCAAAGTAATTTAAAGAAAATCAGTTATCCAGTCAATTTAGTTTTAGTATCGCCCTTACGGGTTTAAACTTCCTTAGAAACTATTTTAAATCTCGCTAAGAAAAAGTATAAAATATATATCTATAAGAAGAAACTCGTGCTCACCATACTAAATTACGATAGGTTGACAAGTTTTGCCTCTTAATACTTTTTTTTTAGTAAATTTGTCGAATCACGGCTCTACCTAAAAACAGCTCCAAATTTTTTATGACTTGTATATAATACCTCAAGTAATATTAAGGAAAAAAATTTAATTAAAAAAAAATTTATAATATTAATAAAAATTATTATTAATGTAAATTACTAGCTGATCCGGCAAACGTAATTTTGCCATGTATATCATTTATAATAAAAAATAGGGGTTGATCGTAGAGGGGTGAAAGTTAGGGGTTGTATGTATTTTTTTATGTTGTATCATAAAAAAATAAAAAATAATTAATTTATCTAAAAATTAAAAAAAATAATTTAGGGGTGGACTACCCTTAACATTTAGGGGGATGAAAAATAGATGTTGTCCGATTCTCAGACATACACAATAAGCACACAAAATTTCATGAGAATGGGTCAAGCCGTTTCGGAGGAGTATGGCAACGAAAACTGTGACGCGAGAATTTTATATATTAGATATTGTCTCAGAGTCCCAGTGAATTACATTAGGTTAGGTTAGATTTGTTTTAAATTCTAAGTGGCGTTTGTGATCAGGTTAGGTTAGCTTAAAGCCAAAAAAATTATCTACTTTAATTCATTTCACAAATAACGATGTTTTAATTAATTTCTGTGGGGTTAAATAGCATGCGCCACCACATTATTGCATGGTACACTATTGCCGAGTGATGAAAATATGTGGAAAAAAATTTGGAGCTGTTTTAAGGTGGAGCCGTGATTCGACAAATTTACCATTTTTTTTATTCTATTAGTAGCTACTGTAAAAAATACAATAAATAGTTAACGACACCTTAATTGCCTGTGGGTATAGTTTATTTATTTGTTCTAATGCCATTTAACATGTATTTAGCGAAAAGCAATATAATATGGAATTTATGAATATATTCTGTTGTGTAGATTAAGACCTCAAAGGAGCACGCAGTCGTAGTGTGCACAAT